AGGGCCGTAAGAAGATAAAAAGGGAATGCCAATGACAGATTTGCGAGGATCGAGGATATTACCCAGGCAAAGGAGGATTCGATGAAGTCCCCGACGAAGAAATGGAGGAAGACGCACCAGAACAGCCACGCAGTCGAGGAGGCCGAGGAGAGAATTGTGTGTAGCTTAGAGACTATTCGCCGGGCCGAAGAAGAGTAGAATCATCAGATTTGTGTGTAGATTGCTTGCAAATTGGATGAGCTGGATGTCATTTATCCTGGTGGCGATGGTGGTACCAAAATTCCATTGTGGGGTTGATTCCGTTGGGTCCAGACGTCTAGACCGCAAAGGTAGTTAAGGATTGGCTATAAACTCTTTAGAGGCCTCATCGCCTAGTGGGCAAATAAAGCAAGATATAGTTACCACCTTAACAACCGAGGTAGAGCTACTTGCTCTCTTATATGCACCCAAGGAAGGACTCTTTATTTCACGCCTATTAAAGGAGCTTAAGATTTCGATAGACTTGTAGCGCCTAGTTGTCGAAGTCGATAATACGCAGACTATCCAGCTTGTTATAGAGGAGATTGCGAAGCTTAAGACCAGCCTTAGATACATGGACATCTATACCACTAGTTGCGCCAGGAGTATACGAATGACAGAATCAACATCATATATATAAGAGCATAGAGATAATAGCAGATAGCCTAACGAAGGCACTTGCTTAGGAGCAGTTTGTCAGTCTCAGGGAGCAGATAGGCTTGGTTGATGTGAGCGAGAGGCTCGTAGAGCGTAGGGAAATGGAAGAAAAGGAGAACTTGGAAGCAGAGGCATAAGAGGGATAGAAGCAGTGGAGGGCATTCGCAGTGGTTATTCCAGCTCCCTAGCGTAGACATCGCGCTGGCTCGGCTGTGGGGGTGTGTTGGATTTGGCAGGTGGTCAGGGAGGGCAGTTCGGTGGTGACTGATAGCTTGGCACCACGACTCTTAGAATCAGGAGGAGACGGAGTGACTTCTGGAACAACATAGATAGCAGCATTATCATCAATTGAGTGGTTACCCATCTTTTGGTGCCCAATTACTACGATGCGGTAAATTTGTAGCTTTTGGCTTTTCAACACTAGGATATTGTCGACTTGCAGTCTTACTTCTTCCGCCGTGATTGCTGTAACCATTGGTCCCTAGCTACTAGTGGTTATTATCTGGGTAAGGCTTCGCAAACTGGTCCTTAGCTGCAGCAACAACTACTCATTTAGCCGTACTGATAGTCCAGGTTATACTGAGTAGTTGTTGTAGAATTGCTTGAGCGCCGCTAAGGTTTTGCCAGAGTTACTAGCATGATAATATTCGTCATTGGGATTTCAACCGCGTTATTGGGTCTAGTACTAGAGCTAAATGTAATGCGTATAGCTCGCTAGGATTTTCTCAACCTCTATTTCCTCTCTAGCGACGGATTGGCCAGGTGGTTTCCTGCAGCCTGCCCAGGGAGCGGGTTATTTTTGTACCATCGTAGCCAATCAGCTGTGAACTCGACTGATCCTCGCTAGATTCCGGGATATCTAACCAGTAGGTCCCTGTAGTAGTCTTCCTTGAGATCTTATAGTGTTGCTGAGTGACGGGGAGTAATAATTTGTCGCTTAGCTAGCTAGTAAGATCCAACCATTTAACAATGACTGCTTGGTCGCTACGTTGACTCTGGCTCCCGGTGATGTTGATTCTCTTATGCCGCTTGTCTTTCCCAGGCCTTCGCGATTTTATGGCAGGCGTGTTCCATATAGTCTTAGATTCGACGAGCTGTCTCCTATGCCATATCGTGATTGAGCCGCTTTTTCCATTCGCAATCTACGAGTTCTTACGTCCGTGACTCTAATAAGACGGCATTGACATTAGGAATCCGAATAAAATCTTATATAGTAATAACATAGTGCTCCCGTGCAGGAGGCCTATCTTGAGGGTAGAGATTGCCTAGGGCCAATTATTTTAAAAATAGCTGACAAACGGCTATAAGCGCTAGTTAATATACAATCAAATGTAGCCTCGTATGGCACAGCATAGCCTAGCCTAGCATTGCATGGCATGGCATGCCTTGGTTTGAGCTGAGTTTGAGCTTGTTGGGTCTGAGCTCGGAGTTGAATTCGGTGGGTTCTTGACCTGCCTAGCGGTTTACGAATACTCTACTATAGCTAGCTTTCACTCGATACCAGGATCCTGGATAGTTCGTCAGTGAATTCGGCCTGACACTACAGTCCTCGGTCGCTGAAGACTTCTTTCGGTAAACTTTAGACTCGGTAGGAACCCTTGTAGTAAAGGTTGATTTAGGTAATAAGATGCCTTTCTAGCGGCCTAGCATTAAGAAGTTACTGTAGGTACACTTAACAACCGGATATCTTCCCCGTTGATACATTCCCGCTAGGCCGTAGGAGCAGCGCCTAGCGCAATCTCCGGCTGCCTAGGGGCCGCTAACCAGGTTCCAGTCACTACTTTGCTAGTGCTAGCGATATCAGTATAGTGCTCGGTATTATAATGGCTTTTATATATAGCTGTGTGAAAGTCTACATGGTCCGTTTGCTAGTACACGTTCTCTCAGTTCCTTTAGTCTCTATTGCTACTGCTATTTATAGCGGTGTTGGGACCTCCTTTTATAAGCTATAGCCGATATATAGGCAGTTATACGGTCGCTAAAGTATTTTGCGAGCTTGCGGAGCGTAAGCTTGTCGTTGTTAATAGCTTCCTAGTTGCTATCATAGTACGATTCGCACTAGGATTCGTATCTAGCACCCTTGATAGCCGTCTTGAGCTATAACTACCAGAGCTGGGAGCCAGTTGAACTAGGTAGATTGACTTTCATGCACCTAGAAGAGCTGTTTCCCGGTTCGCGAGCCAGCCTAGTATATCTTTCGGCCTACGAGTTAACGGTATAATGGCGGTGTTATACCGGGTTTTAGCCCGCTGAAGTTCTTTGTCGTTGTTTAAACCAGCACGTTCCTTAAGGGCTATATACCACCGGTCGATAGTTCTGTCGGCCCTATAGGTGGTATCGTAGAGCTAAGGAGCTACCGTTTAGCGAATCTACGTACAGTACGTGTCCAAAGGTCTGGAGCACCCCACATCAATTAAACGCGCGTCGCGACACAACACCCCCCATCATCAACCTTCCAACCAACAGAACTGCAGCCCACCATGTTCAACTTGGCCGAGCTTGGTGCCAAATTGACGGTCGGCCGTCAACCTGGCCAGGAATTATCACCAGCTGCACGTGCAGCTATTGCTGGTGCCGTTGCAGCGGGGGCTAGTCAGACGGCTGTTGCCAACGCGTTTTCCATCAGCCGTCGTGCAGTCCAACTGTCGCTTCAACGCTTCGAATCTTCTACCACCTTTGAATCCAAGCCTAGAACTGGCCGGCCAGGGATTCTTACACGTCGGGAGAAGCGGTACATCATCCAATTTGCAAAGCGGAAGCCCTGTCTTACGACACAACTGCTCACTAATACAATTGATACTCGGATCTCTCGATCGACCGTACGCCGAGTTCTCCGCCATCATCGAATGCGCAAGTGGCGTGCACAAGAGAGAATTTCATTGACAAAGGCTGTAGCAATGGCCAGATATAAGTTTGCTTGTCTTTGGTTAGAGAATCTCGAGGTGCTGATGCGAGTAAGTGACTCTGAAGCTTACCCCTGAATTTACTAACCCACAACTAACCCAACGGCTTGGGTCTTCCGGTCCCTTCTCAAAAATTGCATAAGAACTTCGTCAACATACAAAGTCATGGTAAAGGCACCATCTCGATCATGATCTGGGGAGGAACCTGGAAAGGGGGGAGGACTGACCTTATAGTCATGGAACGTGACTATCAGCCACCGCAAAAAAGGGGATATAACTCTTGGAGCTATCAACGGGCATTGGAAAAGGGCCTTCTTCCAGTTTACGACGGTACGGGCATTTCCAGCAGGATAACGCCCGGGTTCATACATCGTCATCCTCGACCGAGTGGCTCCTGAATCACATGATCGAGGTCCTTGAAGACTGGCCTGCTCATAGCCCAGATCTTAACCTATTGAGCATATGTGGGCTCTGTTAAAACGGAGGATGAAGCAGGAATATCCACATATTTGGTTACTCAAGAAAAACCACGTGGATGTTGCTGAGTTTACTAGATGTCTTCAGCACTGTTGGTGGTTAATTGACCAGGCTCAGATTGACAGGCTGGTCGACTTATTGCCCCGGCGATTGGCTGCAGTCAAGAAAGCCAGGGGCTGGTATATGAAATATTGATGGCTGAAACTAGGGCTTCAAACTGTATATATCTGTATTGCTAGAAATAAAGCTGGTAAGCTGTTATAGAAGGATAAGTATCTTGGTCATGACGTCAAAAATCGTGTGGCTGGCGGTAGTTGGTGTGGGGTGCTCCAGACTTTTGCACATGTACTGTAGTAAGTCTATTGAGGTTCTATCGCTCAGCTATATAGAGTCGCTACTCGAAGTAGTATTCTAAGAGGTCGGTCTTATATATTTCGCAACTAAGGGCGGTTATCTCGCTGGTATTTCAGGGTGGGTTTCGTCTATCGATCTCTTCTACTAGAGGGCCGAGAGTCAGGGCTTATAATTCCCCTATGGTAGTGCTAGAAGTGGCACTTCCTACGTATATACTCTACGTGGGAGGCGTGTCGGCACGATCAAGGCGCTTTGGGTAGTCCTTGATAGCTGGTTTGATTGGTGCGGTCTTGAATTCGCCAACCGAAGAGCTCTTAGGGTTAATGACCCCCCAAAGGTCCCTAGTCGCTACCTTATATCTGAATCGCTTATTCTAGGCCTTCCAATCGTCAGGGCCGGTGAGTTTGACATCTTCGTTGATAGTGGCTATGGCGACATATGGTCGGTCGGTTTTAACGTGTCAGTCGTAGCTGTTGTTTCGTGCTACCACGTAGAAACGGAAGTTAGGAGTTCAGGTGGCCTTCCCGGAGGAGTGTTGGAAAGCCAATAGCTACGAATTTACCGCACCGTAATAAATGGGCACCGAAAGATGGATAACCACTCAATTGATGTTGATACTGCTCTCTATATCGTTTCAGAACGTTACCCCGTCTCCCCCTGATCCTGAGAGCCGTGGTGCTAAGCCGTTAGTCACCACCGAACTGCCCCTCCCTGACCACCTGCCAAATCCAACACCTAGCTACGAAAGCTTTAGGCGAACGTTTTAGAGACGGGAGATTGTGACGGAAAGCGCACCTTAAACTCATGCTCTCTTCAGTGAGTGATTATCGGGTGGCCTATGCGCCCACTTATCTTTATCGCATCGCAGACGCGCATCCTATGTAACGGGCTGGGCCCGGTGCGAGCCTCGGCGACTCTCGGCCAATACCAAGACCCCTGATGAGGCTATTCCCACTCGCCCCACAGCACACCGAACCTTCTAGCAACGCGCTCAGACCAGCGCGCCTACGTGTGACGAATCTCAAAGCCCCAACTTCTGAAAGGGACTCCTGAAGGTTATATTTGACAACGGGGTGAGGTTCGGTGAAGCCAAAGGGTTCACAACAAGCAATGTCCAAGGGTACTGACAATCTTGCACTTGAGTTGCTTACTGGAGAACTCCCAGAGTCCTCCAGAACGAGTGACTATATACTAGATGCATTTGGTTGCTCTCTCGTGCTCTCTAGAGCCACCTAGAGCCAATGCTCTATGGTGCTCTCGAGAGCCTCTTAGAGCGTCCTCTGATTGGCCTTGCACTGGTGCTCTCTCATGCTCCTGAGAGCTCTCTGGAGCACCTCTAGGACTCGTTCCGATTGGTCCTAAGTGATTGGCTCGAAACGTCCTACGTTCCCCACTGGCTTCTGCAAGTAAGCCGCCGTTGTTGACTCTCGTTGGTTCATTTGTGACACTACGAGGATAAGTATGCTTGCGAGCTACCAGAGTCTGTCGTCTCTCCTTTTCTTCTCCAAGTTCAGTGTACTCGTAGAGTCGTCATCAGCTAGTTGCAATATACTACCTGAGACCGTTACATCCTATATACTCTCCCTCTTTCTTTCCTTGGCTTTCGATTAGCAGAATTGAGTAGGCATTTGCAGTGCCTGGTGCCTCACCTTAATGCCATTTGATTCTTATACACTCTGCGTACAGTGTGGCTTCTCGTATAACCATACTAACTAGAGCATACGCAAGCTCAACTCCTATGCCCCATCGCACTAAAATTTAAAAGCCCTATCTATAATAGTCTATATATAGAATACTATTTTCTTTCTTATGACTTAATCTAATTCAATGAAATTACTATTATTTAAGGCCTATAGAAAATAATAATAAGATCGTTGAAGGCATCGCCTGTTAATTATAGTAACTGCCGTAATGTTCGCTGAGATTTATGCATTTATTTACTTGCTTAATCCTGTCCATAGGCCGAATAGGCTCACAATATATATATAGGCTTGTCAGTTATTCATTTATTCCTGAGATGTCTGACACTACTCCTCATGTGAAAGAGGAGTAGCATCGAGGCGAGGCACGTAGGCACTGCAGTTGCTAACTTTATTCTGCTAATCCCACGATGAGGAGAAAAGGAAAAGAAGCTGGAAGAGTTCTCGCGATGCAGAGGTTAAATGCCAGGGCAGGTGCCGCCACCTGCACTCCAACGGCAGGCGCCGTCACACCTCACAATCTCCAATCATCCTTGATCATATCCGCCGCCTTTTCAGCAACCATATAAACAGGGCCCTGCTTATGCTGGTCCGGAATGACAGGAAACACGCTCGCGTCGACAATCCTCAACCCCTCTACCCCATAAACCCTCAACCTCTTATCCACCACACCACCTTTCTCCCTCGGCAGCATAGCACACGTCCCGCTCGCATGCCAAACTGTCACAGCCGTCTCTCGGATATACTCCATTATCTGCTCATCTGTCCGCACCTTGTCGGGCCCGGGATTAACCTCCCCGTGGTTTGCGCCGACAGTGCAATTGCACGCAGCGGCAAACTCGGCTAGGACTCTGCGGAGGTTCTTGAAGGCGTGGACGGCGACGGCTTGGTCTTCTGGGTGGGTGTAGTACTGGAGGTCAATATCGGGCGGGTCAGAGAGGCTGTTCGAGCGGACTGAGACGGAGCCCTTAGACAATGGGGCGACCAGGCCGGCGGTGAGGCTCACGTAGGAGGTGTTGTATTCGTGCCGGAGGTAATAAGGGGAGGGGATGTTGGGATAGTAGATTGTCTCATAGTAGTACTCGATGTGCGCTTGGTTGGGACGCTCGGAGGCTAGTGTTGTGGCGTTGAGGGAGATCAAAACGTCGGCGGGTACCTTTTCGAAGCCGTAGGATAGACCGACTGGGGCTCGGAGGGGCCCTTTGGGCTCCCAGTATTCTTGTTCGGCTTGTTGGAGTTTGGAGAAGTCACGGTAGAGGGAGGAGTGGGAGATTGAGGGGTCGACTTCGATGTTGATGCTGAAGTAGGTGTGGTCTTGGAGGCTGGGCGGGGTCAAGGTTAGTTGTGTTCCATGTCGAGTGCTGGGTGCAGGTGGGCTTACTTCTGCCCGACATTTTCGTTGGCGAGGTAGACCTTGATCCCTGCCTCGTTCAGAGTCTCAGTCGGGCCGATGCCCTGGCACCAGTTAGATTGTAAAGCTCATCGCTCGGGCTGTGGCCAGGAACAAACTCACAGACAACATGAGCAGCTGGGGAGTTTGAATAGAGCCAGCACTCATGATGACCTCCTTTGTTGCCGTGACATTCAACGTCCGTCCTCCAGGGTGGTCGATGTACACCACTCCAATCGCTGTAAGGTTCCCAGCATCCTCCTGGAGGATGATCTGCTGGACGGGTGAGAAAGGCAAGACTCGGAGATTCGGCCTGTCCTTTGCCAGCATATAGTAACTGTCGTAACTTGAGCTTCGGCGGTACTTGTCGTCTATGGTGAGAGGCTCCTGCTTAGCTCCGACGTTGTTGCCGCCATTCAGCTCTTGGACACTATCCACTTGTTAGTTGCTGTGGCTTCGCAGACTACATGGGAGATACGTACGTCGGCACCTGGATAGCAGAGAGTGATTCAACAAACGCGATGCTCCCGGGAGTCCCGTTGACGTATGGAGAATAAGAGAGTGCAACCGGTCCCTGGTCATACAGGGAAGCGTCGAACTCCTGCTGGGCAACTTCCTCTCGAGGGGGGAAGAAGGTTGTTGACTGTTAGTTACTGTGATTAGTCCATGCGGGGCCATCAACACCTTCTTTTTGATACACACCCACCCTCTTGAAGTACGGAAGAACCTCGTCCCATCCCCAGCCTGAATTACCCAGCGTCTCCCACAAGTTGTAAAGGCTCGACGAACCCCTTCCATACGTGAGTCCATTGATGGCTGAACTGCCACCCAGACACCTGCCACGGTTGTAGACCAACTGCCTCCCATTCAAACTTTCCTGCGGCAGTGTCGTGAATGCCCAGTCGATCGGCGAGCCCAGCACCTGCAGGTCGGCGCCTGGTGCCTTGTACGCAGCCACCTGGTCGGGGGGACCACCAGCTTCCAGCACCAGGACGGTCGTTTTCCCATCCTCGGTTAAGCGCGCCGCTAGCGCAAGCCCAGCCGTGCCACCACCCACAATGATGAAGTCGTAGCTTTGAGCATCGTACCGCCTCGTATGATGGACTGGAGATGCATAGGTAAGGGCGGAGCAGAGCGGTAAAAGAACGCCAATTGTTCGGCCGAGGAGAACCATCATAAAAGCAAGCTAGGTACTCATACACCGCAGCGGTAGGGAGAACCTCAACAGGACCATTTCCCAAAGGACGATGACCTGTCGTCCCTTTGACCCAATTTATGACTGCTCGTCCTGCCATGACCTCGTGTATCGACTGCACGCCCAGCCCGGCCATACCGTGTCGTGATGTAATTGCGCTCTGAGCCGAGAGCTGGAAGCAAGGCACAGGGCTTCTTCATGTGTCTTGACGATCTGCAAGGCCTGAATTGTAGCTTCGCAAGCTTTCGCTGTCGCTGGAGTCGCCTCGAGGGCGCCTATCCCGATTGTGTCTAGCCGGTGGAGACATCCTCATCTTGTATCCAATGGAGGTTGGCAGAGCTGGTGAGGTCGCCGATTCGGCCTTCATCTGTTTCCCAGCCGGCAATTGATCGTCGATTGATCTCCAGAATGATCGGCGCGGCCGCTCTGGTTCTGGAAAGGTCAAATCGCCAGGCTGCCAAGCTGGCAGCGGACCACGCAGCTGGTAACAACACTGCGCCCCCCACAGATGAAGACGCAAGAAAGACGTGGAACGTCCACGCTGACGTCGCTGAAGTTACTTTGTTGCTGACAAAGCCCCACCCTCAGCAGAAGGCGGAGCTGTATCCCGTATTTCTTGGTTGGCGGTTGAGACGGTGTCGGGCTGGGACTTGAAGTGGGTCCGTCACGGGCCCCAGAGTTTCAGCGGAGCGGGCTCTATCCGCACCGGGCTCGACCCGTGCCAATGTCCCGGCAACGTCTGAGCCTAAAGTGGCAGGTGGGGATATCGAACAACCGATCAATGTATGGAATTTTGGACCGCACTGGACACAAATACCGCACCCACCGCCCTCGGCTTCCCGTCTGCGAAGAAACCGCTCTTTCGGGTTGTCCGTTTGTCTCGCGTCCCTCATCACAATCATTCGTTGCCGATCGGGCGCAGGACCTTTAGGTTGGCTCAACGCCCTGCCGTCACGGTTCTCCTCGAGAGGGCTGTGCATACCTCCATCCCCCGTTCCGACCTTACCAGGTAATTACTGAAAACACCGATCCGGGACGACCTGGCCTGATGAACGGCACGCCTTGACGTGTTCTCACCTCGCGGTGTGGTTGGTACCACAATTATGGACCCGTTCTCCCGACGTCTTGGCTGACTGAGACATCAGGCCTCCGGGGCCCCTGATGAGCTAGGGAACCTGGAAGCCCCATGGACTATGACTTGCCTCATCTTACCGGCAGGTTGGGCCTATCTGAGGTTCACCAGCTGCAAGAGGTACCCCAGAACCCAGGGCTCCGGCCAGGACCGTATGCCAGGCTCCCAGCTTGCAGCCGCACAGTGCTCGAGCCGTCTGGGTTCGAGAAACTACAAACAATCCGCGTACCGCTCTCAGGACCCGACTGATGGCCTAGGATCAACAGATTCGGGCCGGCTTCAGCAGTCCCTTAAAATCTCGATGGCTGGTATTGTACAACGTCATCGAATCATTGCGTTCCAGCAGAGCTGCGTGGCAAGAGTGTTTCAGAAGGTGTTGCAGGGCAATGTCCTTGCCTCCTTTGCCAGCGAGGGGACACAGACGGTAGAGTCGGCCCAAGTCCGCGATTCTGAGTTGCCGCAGGCTTGCCGCCCTTCAAGTTGGCGGTGTGTGTCGGTGATCGGATCGACGACCTGGTATTGTACAACATGGGTACCGAACTTTAACAGTCTCCGTTCTTTTCGTTGATCCGTGCTAATGCACACCATAGACAACCACATCCAAGCTGCCAAACATGGACCCAAACTCACGGTTGAACGGCGGCTGGCTATCTTGGAACCCGCGTGGTCGTCTCTGCTGTTCATCTTTTAAAGGAACTACTGGCCTCTGACAAGACACCTGGGACCCGAACAATGCATCAGTAGGGTAGCTTCAGGGCAGAAGGACGTGGTCAGCCCGTTTCAGTTCGCCAACGAACCGCGGCTTTCGGACGGTGACTCATACCATACAGCACGACGTCTTTTTGGAAAAGGTCGCGCCTTCGGTACTCAAGTAACATTGCTCCAATTGGTGCTGGAGTCATCAATCCCTTGAAAATCTTAGGGGTCCTCGGTCGAGACAGTTGTGGAACGATGTCAGGAGCAGGACGGACAGTTGCATAAGCCGTCTCCCACTTCCCGTCACGCGGCTCGAGGCCATTTATGCTGCCAACCATGTGCTGCATGTGATGCAAAGTTGTGGCGGCAGAGACGGAGTGAGACATCGGGGCGAAGATCAGCTCGATTCGTCAACAAAGCACATCCAACCAGCGAAGAGTGGACTACGTCCTTGGAATACAGGCGCTGATGCTTGTCTTGCTGCTGCCGGAACTTCCCATTATGCCCCCAACGTGGGCGAGATCTCCAGGCTGCGAGCCAAGTCACATTTCCGTCTGCATTGGGTGTTAATCAAAACGCTCATCAGGTCCAGTATCTGGCTAGGTAAATTCGACGGCATGCGTTCTAGGCACAGCCTCAAGAAGTCTTGTCCTGTCTAGGCTAGGTAGGGATACCGTAAGCGCTCATGAAATTCGGAATTGCCTCCCCAGCAGAGGTCCTCTGTCTGCAAGGGCTCGCAAGGGTTGTGCAGGGCTGTTTTGCGGGTAAGGCAAATCATCCGGACTTCACCAGCGCTTACGGTAGTACCTCCAGCATTCTGACATTTCTTTGGAGGAAAATGTCGGGAAGTTACGGTAAGGTATATCAACAAAACTTGCCTCATCTGCTTCGCGCCCCTTACACCGAGCACACTCCGGAGTCCCATCATTGCGAGCCAACCAAGCGCGTTATACCATCCCGGCTTTTCACTTATCCTGCCGAAATTCCGTGGTACACTGTTCCGAAAACATGTTGAAGTTTTACCACTTGGGGTCATCCGGACTTCCGCAACTGCCGAGCAGATGCCATCGAGTAATGGTAATAACCCAACCTCTGATCTCCTCGAGTTCGCCGCGTGGGGACGGGAGCCACCTCTCCTTCGTCTTCTCGTGGGACTTGACGCTCATATCGATACGGCAATCCGTGTAGCAGAGCCGGCACGACCTGACTCCGCTCAAGAAGGAGGCAAAACATGACAGGAGAATCGGGACGTCTAAGCGGCTCTAGGATGAGCCTGAATAAAGCCAAGCGGACAGGATCGCTGTAGTGCTCAACGTGATGACAACCCCGATGAACAAGCCGGGGTCTTTGGTTGACATCGTAGAGATGGCGCTGTAGGTGCGAGCACACCCCTTGTCACGATACAGCTGTGACTTCGCACAGGGGTAGAGTTTGTTGTCGATGATGCGCGATTGCCATGTCTTTGACCCGATGATACCGTCGTAACAAGACCAGTACAACAAGTTTTTGTTGTTGCTGATGGTGAGAGCTTCGTCCAGGGCCGGGCCATGTTCTCGCCGTAGAAATGACGGTTCATTACGAGCCGAGTAAGGGAAAATTTGCTGAGATCAGAATGATATGGCGATACTCCTTGTTCAAGTTCGTGTTGTTTTGGGCAGGCTCGGTTGTAAGTAGGGAAATTCCCGTCGGAACCTGGCTCGTGGTGCCAGTTATGGAGCTGAGCACACTGGTGGCAGAAGTAGAGGGCCAGAACGTCCTGCTCGAGCCACAAGAGTAGTTTGAGTCTCTCTACCTCGTTGAGTGGCATCGTGCCTGGCCAAGGCATGTGTTGATAGAATTTCCGGCATGTCAGGGCAAACGCTACCACCGACTCAGGGGGAAGATAAGAGAGAATATTGCAGATGACCTCCGCGGTTACCCATCCTTGGAGCATGAATGTTTATTTGTCTGCGCCTGGCTGTTCCGAGAGTGCTGCACGGTCGGATAGGCATCGGGTGGGCTTCGCGTACCGTCAGATTCCCTGGAAGACTGGACGCAGCATGGCGCAGATTGGGCCGAAATGGCGAGCTGGCATCTGGTACGAAGAACTTGTGAGGACGAGTGGAGCGTCTACCCTATTGCCCATTAGACTGAGAGCGTTGCAAAGGCTATTATCTCTTAAGAATAAAACATTAGACGCGGCTTTCAGCTTCTGCGGCCTTTCGGATCACTTACCTAGGTAAGTATCGCTTCTCAATGACAATACTCATCATACTCCATGACGACAAACCTTAACCTAAGTCGTAACGTTCTGCTATCCACAGTTGGGGCATAATAAGGTAGTCCACAAGTAACACACTGGCGTATGCAAAAATGACAGACAACTGCACTGACGAACTGATTAGATGTACGGCTTGACCTGCGCCTCGTACCACTCGTAAAACCGCGGACCTGTCCCGTTTCCGCCTCCGTCCTCCGTCTTAGCCGCCATCTTCAAGTCGTTGCGCGGAGATCGTATGCGGCCGAAGGGGATGACTGCAAACATACGCCAATCCACGGCCTGATCTTGCCCAAAGTAGCTCCAGTCTTACCGAAGCATCCCGACTTGTCGAGCGTGATATCAGGCGAGAGGCCAGCATAGAGCATCGTGTACGATCCATTGATTACGGGGTAGGTATTCAGCCTGAGAAACAACCTGAACCCCGCGCCGTGCTGGCCATACAAGTCCGATGCCAGATCGCTCGGGTTAGCCACGACACTGGCCACGCCCGCTTCCTTCCCAACGCGCCGGGAATACTCAACGCCCTGGAAGTAATTCCCAACTTCACTATACCCGTACCGGACAATAGCCGGCTTGTCCTTCTTTTTGTAGTCAAGGTTGTTCAGGTTGAAGCCGACGTCCTTCTCACCCGCGAGGTCGACCGTCGTCGACGCCCACACCGCGCGCACGGATCCCGGCGCCGACTTGGGCCTAGCTGCCGTGGCCTTGAGCACGGGGTTGAGCAGCTTAGTCACCAGGGAGAGCCCGAGGCAGTTGACGCCCATGTGCACCTCGTAGGCCTGCGCCGTCGTCGCCTTCTCCTGGCCCGGCGCCACGTTCATCACAGCCGCGTTGTTCAACAGCACGTGCAGCTTGGTCTCGCACGCGAGGAAAAAGTCGACTGAGGACTTGATGCCGCCGAGGTCGGCCAGGTCGAAGTGAAGGAAGGTCAGAGACCCTGTAGACGACAGCGAGGCCGCACAGAGTTCGTTGATGGCCGCGTTGGCCTTCTCCTCGGAGCGCGTCGCGACGTGCACCGTCGCATTGCGCGAGTAGAGGAGCCCTGCGAGGGCCTTGCCAATGCCTGTGTTGGAGCTTGTGATGATGTAGACCTGGGAGTACGCCGAAGTCAGGTACAGTCTACCTAGGTAAACAGCTTGCTGCTAAGAATTCACCTTTCCGCCGAGATCAGGGGCGTCCTTCTCGGTGAAGCCCGACTTTGGCGGGAAGAACTGAGTAAAGATGACGGAAATCTGAGCCATGGTAATGGCTCAGAAACAGGAACGATCGGGGCGGGGGTAGCTAGTTGTGCTACTTCTGGCTCAACGGAAGTTGTGATGAATCGGCTTTGAGGCTACCTCCAACCTTAACTTGTAGGCAGGTACGAACATCTGCTTCAAATTCGACTACTGTGCGGCATTTACTACAGTACTGAAGCGAGACTGGCAGCGGAAATGGGGGCCAAATCGTGTCGCAACAGAACCCCGAGACCCTGCCGAGCCATGATACCCGGTTTGGCACATCCTTGACATGCCTTTACATGAATTGGCTTGGCCTTGACGGAGTTTAGAGACTACTACTGCACACTGCGTCTGTTCAGTTGCCTAACCGGTATGCTTCACACTGATGGATACAGACGGAAAGGGGCAGAGGTCAAAATAGACCGCAGCAGCTTTGGACGAAGTCAAGAGGTCTGCAATGGAAAAAGTGGTCTGGAGGTCCTGCACTGACTGTAGAGACTGAAATTAATGATAGCGTAGTCCATGTCCAAGGGGAGGACGGCATCCTTGTACCAGCGGTATGTCCGTCCGGGACATGATACGATGAAGAAGGACGTGCGCCATGTAGGTTGTAAGCGAGGCCTAGCCGCCCATGATAGCTGATGCGGGATGACGGATACCACTCGAGCGACGCTCCTATCGAGTTGCTTCAGCGTAGTTTGGTTGTATCGGTGGAAGCCATTGACGTCGCCGGGTTAGCAAATGGCGTCACAATCGCTCACGTTCCATCACTGGTAGGCGCTGAGCCCAAAACTTGAGTTGCTGCGAAAGTTGCTGGCAGAAGGTCAGTCTAAAGTATAGTGGTGACTCACGGCGCATGGGCGGCGCACTTTATGAGTTGCGGGCTTCTTGTTGTTGTTCAACCGGATGTACCCAGGAGCGCAGCGCTCGGGCTTCGGGTGATGCTGAGCTGTCACGTACGGGATTTGACTTGAGCGGGCCATTCGCGCAATCCGAATTGAAGAATGCCAGCCAGACTGCTGTGTGGAATTCCCTAAAATAAAAAAAAAAGGAGCCTGCAGTCGCAGCGGGACTGCCACTTTCCTGGCGGAAAAAGAAAAGGAAAACTTGCCCTCGGTTTCGAAAAGCTCTGCGGTGGGGATGTTACTACCGTTCCTGCAATTGTCGCAATCTGCGAACTGCAGTTGGCAGGAGCATTGCGGAATTCGGCCGTCATCGCCTCAGTTTGTTGAAACAGGAAGAGCCGGCCCGGCAATCCAAGCACCACTTTCCTTCCGCTTGCTCTTCTATCCGGACACCAAGTCGGCGCCAAAAAACCCTTCCAGTTCGCGGACCAGAGATCCACATTTCAACGCCAACCAAACATTCAAACGTCCCGAGTTACCAAGATGACCAGCACCAACTCAGATCCAGACATGGCCTTCTCCAAAGACACTGGATCCCGTTTCCGATTTCAGGCACCGGAACAAAAGGAAACAGTCTCCGTCTTGGAGGGCGAATACGCCTCCTCTCGTTTATGTGCTGCGCGGAAAGTCGAAGACCTGACTGGTGATGCTGTGTCACCCGAGCCGTGGCGAAATTGGCGGTCACGAATCGTTGAATGGAGGCAGGGAAGCCGAAGGATGCAGTGTACGCAAGGAAATGATTCTATACGTACGGTAACGTATATGGGCCCTTGCTTCCACGCTTCGCAGCGGTCGAGCAGATGGGTATGTGTAAGATATGTCAAGACGCCGCGTAACAAAGAGTCCTTCAGCGCCACGCCTCCAGGAAAGCAAACCAGCAAGCCTGACTCTAGACATCGAAAAAAAAAAGAACGATATCGACGGGAAATCAGAAGCTCCGACAATCCCCACCCCGGGGATAAGCCTCAGGACACATCGTCGGCTCGCTCGAGCCGCGATTCGTCCACCGTCTGCAGTGCCGAGGGCGTGAAGGGGAGATACTGGCCGTCCGGCTGCGGATTCGAGACGATGATGGTGATTAGGCTGCCGTTGACAGCAACCACCTTGTACACCACCGTTGAGCCTCGAATGCGGACGGCGTCGCCAGACTGGAGCTGCGGTCCCTTCGCCTCAGTATCTGGCAATACAGCTTCGGATAAGGAAGACACGTACGCCCATGGTTGAAGCGCAAGATCAACACAGGATTGGGAGACTTGAGATCCCTGAAGCAGTAGCCCCTGACCCAATCAGCCATGATACAGGGCTAAGAAACAGAGTTGCTCACCACTTACCTCTTACAAGTTCAACCGAGGACTCAGTCTCGTCTTTCTTTCTTCTGCCTGCAGAGCTTCATCGTGGTGGGACTGCGGGCGATTCAAAGATCCTGCGGTCTATTTAATCTCCGACGTGGATGACGACGATCGTTACGGGAGTGGCATCCCACTCCCTGACCTCATTAGCGAAGCGGCTGATCCTTAGGCATGTGTGGACCATCAAGGCCATGTGCTCAAGATTCGACCGTGGCAGCACACTTCTATCGGTTACCGGATGCCCCGTTTGGTCGTCCTGCTCCCGGCTGCTACTCTGCATGTGGTGCACAAAACGCCAGACATCAGACAGCGTGCATGCTCGGTTCGAGCCCACACGTGCGGATGCTACAAGCCGCTGGAGATGGATCCTGGAACCAGCAGTTCGGTTGGTGGCGTGACTGCTCCAATGTGCTGGCGTTCTGTCGGCTGTAAAGGCCGACATTGGGGACTGGCCATCAGTGGTTGCATTGCATAACGCCCGTGGTGTCCCCCACGGACGGGCTCTCCGATCTGTCGTCATCCCAGGCCTGCGTTGTAAGCCAAGTTTACACCAGAATTCCGCCAACACGGCCTTGTCCTTCGTGACGAGATCAGCCGAGGTTCCTGCGTTTCGGGTCTCCTTTCCGGAGCCATGGTATGGCCCGTGAAAATCCGAGGGAATTACGTCCCCACGCAAGTCCATCTCGTCAATCCTTCGCAAGATCCTCACCCGTCACCAGTTGCCAAGTCTCGTCCCATCGGGTAAGTAAATGACTCAAGCCAAGGAAAAGATAGAACGAATCCGGCGTTCCGCATTCCCGGTGCGTCTCGAGCGTTAAGGGTGTTCCTGGACGTCTGGGATACCGCCAAGTTCTCCCACATGACCGAGAACCGGGACCTGAAAAGCGAGACCCCTGATTCATCACAGGCGCCTTACACCCAACTCTCATCGTGAAGCTGTCAAAAGATCCGTTCCTTTCGACTCCTTGGGCAACTCGGGAAGCATAGCCGTGGAATCTGCTCTGTATCGCCCTTATGCTTGTGTTGGGGTAACACAGCAGGGGCAACTTCATGCAGCGCACTGTATTGGGAGTCTGAGGTTCTTACCGGTTTCCCAAAAGAACACCTTCTCGCCCCGCCATCCCAGACGGTCGCAGACCATTGCCAATCATGGTCCCTTCCGGCTGAGATCCCACACCCAGAGACCAAAAGGGCAATGCAGGTGGAACATATCAGGCAATCTGACTTTTGCAGGTGGGCAAAATTATCCTCGATCTTGTGCTCGCAGGAAGGTGGAGGATCTGGCCTCTTTGCACGCCGGCCTCGGAGCCGCCTCAGCCCAGTCGACTTTGGGCACCAACAAGCGGAAACATACAGTATCTTGGTGCTCCCACAACACTAAGCCACGAGCAAAGGAACCCTACACTGGACGGCGAAGCCAATAGCTGGCGCTCATTATTATTGTAAGCCTGGAAGATATTACCACTCCTAATACCATCATCTGGCAGACTGGCACGAGCTGATGAGGTGCTCGTCAAAGGGCCTTAAACCCAAAGGTCCTGCTGAACTTGGGTCCTCTCACGGGATTTCCCAAAAGCGGTAGCGGCCGGCTTTCTTTTTGCCCTCCACACGATCCATCTCTGACCAGCACATCGCCAACAAAAGACACCACAAACTTGCCTGGCATCAGCTGATCATGTTGACTGCGTCAAATTCTCGGTCACGGCAGTCTGCGGCAGAAGATAAACGGCGCTAATGCCGACTCCCACTCGCCTCAGCGCCGGCCTCGATTGGTTGAGCACCGAGTCGCCGGCGGCTCAGGGATGGGGCGTCTTATCTGATTTGCCCTCTAGCGCAGCAGCCGCTTGCCCTTTTAAAGCTCTTAACCCTCACCTAAATTCCCTCCTTTTCACCTCCCATGACGCGATAGCTGACCAATGGCCCACCGCATGTTCGTCCTGTTCTCCCGTCTCCAAGCTGACGGCTCGTGGTATTCGCGTTTCGAAGGAGGGTGGTGTGGGCCAGTTAGGCTCTACTCAACTCGCATCGGGATAACGTCACTGTGCTGCGTTGAGCTTCCCCTGGTGGGCGCTAACCTTAGGTTGAGCGTGGGATACATCGTCTCGGTGGAGTTACCCCGAAGACTCTTCATTCACAGACTCCAAAAGTTCAAATGGGAGAGCAGGCGTGGTCTTCCAAATTTTTCTGTCTCTGTTTTAGTCCTGATCGCTTAGTAAGATGCCTGCGTCTGGTAGTACTGGACCCCCTTAGCCCCCTTTCCCCTCTCCTTCTCTCATGTTCCCCCCTCAACCCTCCCACCTTTGTCTAACTTCCCCATTTTTCTTCCACACCACCCACTCGCCTTTGGGGAGCACATACGCCATATTAGAAGGTTACAAAGCTTGTTTATCATGTACTTCTCTTGCACATGTGACAGACTTGTGCTGGTGACAAATCAGGTTGGCCCGAATTGTTGGTTGGACATTCTAGTGAGCTTGCTTTGACCGGACACATAAGCAGTGAGTGGAATAGCCCGTCCATCACACGGCCGTTCACGTTTGTTCAGGAGGGCGATTTGGCAAGAGGGATACGGCTCTTCTAGAGTGATTGTTTTTGAGCTAGAAACGACCAACATCCATAAATGCTCCAAAGAGTTTTTATCTAGCGAGGCACAGCTTCAAGGCCGGTGTGAGATTGATGTGAGCAACTAGGCTCAAGAAGTAGATAGTTATTATGAGGTGAACTAAGATTTCATCAAGCAACTATCTAAACCGTGTTCAGATACGTTAATTTCATTTAGACTGGTATATCACAGTTTCATCCATCCGCCTGGCCCTCGTGGCTTTCGATCAACAAGTCTGCCATCCAATACCTATCTTCAAGGGCTGAGATCATTCAGGAACATGGCACTTACATGTACTCTCACACAGCCTCACCACAAAGTGCAAGTGGCGAGCTCCAAACTACAAAATGTCAGGCCAGGTTTTAAATCTACCCATCCCAAACTCCTTAACCCTGAAGTATGACCAAGAAGCTCATATTGTGACCCGAGGTCAAACTGTGTCTCTAGAGACTGTCAATAAAGGATTGGGGTAGATAACACTTCTGGTAACCACACAATGTCTTCAGTTCAGTTGTCCAGGAAGGATTGCGCAGAGAATAATGACAAGCAGTGATTTTGGAAAGGAGAGCAGCTTGGGAAGTAACCCACGTCTTCTAGACCCGTGTCCTTGCCCCAATCCTGCCGTTGCCGCACCGACGACACCGTTGACACCAGGTCACTAAGGTACCTGGTAACTTGCTCGCGATCCCAACTCGGCCTGATTATATCTTGGCGCCGGTGACAATGTACGTAAGCATCTTCTATAGCTAAGCCCCTTCAAAGTCAATTTTAAAGCCTTGTAAAAAAAAAACCAATGCCAATGTGCATACAGAACCTCATTCGATAAATCGATAGATTTTGAGGTGGGCAAGACCCCTACTCATTCTTCTTGTGACCAACGCTGCTCATGTTTCTTCTCGGGCTCACACCTTCCTCCACCTTCCAATTCTTCTCTGCCACCTCACCGACGCGTTTATCTTCCGGTCCGCCACGACTGAACTCCGAACCCCCCTTCTTCCTGAACTCAATTCTTGCTGGAACGTTCTCTACTCTCCTTCAGTCGGTTCCTTTCTCTCAGCTTTGTCACGAAGGAGACCCCTGGTTCCTAGCTTCAAGCGAAATCGGGCAACCATCCAACAACCTCGGGAACGATTCGGCTACTCGAGGTGGTAGCTTCCAGTTCCCTGCGAAGTAAGCACCATTTCTGCAATGTTTTATTCCTTCAACCGCGCCGACTAGCACAAATTTCATCCCGCTGCTTGAAAAAGGCAGTGGTACCCTGAAGTCTCTCTTCTTCCTACTACTCCCCGATTTTCTCCCGATGCTGAGGCAAGGGCAGGTTCTCACATCATCTTGCTGCTTACGGGACACCACTTGGAGTGCTGACTTTTCTCTCTCTTTGTCAGCAAGTTGGGAACTTAAGTTCTCCGGCCCTCGGGGCCTCGAGTTCCATCCTGTTGCCGATAAGCACCATTTTCCTCAAGGCTCCGATTTCCTACCGCCCGAGGAGTCGTGGAGCTCACAAAGTTATTTCAGTCATTGGACCGCCACGCTTCCAGTTCTTCTCTTTATACTACTTCCCTCCACAAAGCAAGCATCCACCCCCAGGTCTCGGAGTGCATGCTCCGGTCTTGCTAGCACAGCCAGAGTCAAGGAAAGTATATTCACACACGTGCTGCCGGTACTCACTGCGCTCTAATTGCAAGGTACGCACTGGAGATACTCCTCTTGTGATCCTGATCCTTCCCACTAACTGATCACTGATAGTAGACTGTCTCAGAGTTCCGACCATTCATCTCCTCCTAAGAGTTCGTTCGTGCCTTACCGTTCCAAAAACACTGCTTTTCTCCGCCCGACACGTCCATGAATGCTGACAGCTACGTCAATCCCGCGCCTAGTCCCCTGCATAGGCAAACTTCGGCCGGTCCTCCATCTCAAATTTGAGCTGGTCCTTGTCCTAAGGTGAGTAGGTGCCATCATTGGTCCACTCCCATCACTTGATTTAGAACCTACCTGCCTTCACACCCTCCCCCATCCCGTGCCCATCCAACACCCGACCCTTCCGTCCATGGTCCCGGCCCGGCGCCGCTCTGACCATTGACAACACCTTCCGATCTTTGATCCCCTTTCATTCTCGACCGGGTACTGACCCGGCCAGTTCGACTTGATCCCCTTCCCGCACAACAAAGGAAAAAGTACAAGATGGCGCCTACCAAAAAAAAGGAGGGCACCGCCACCCACCCCATTGACCTCACGGCCTCCAACCCCGTCGTCAGGGGCCGCGTGACCAAGGGCACCCCCCGTCGCGGCAACGGCAGCGGCGGCGGAGGTAGAAGAACCCCTGGCGATGGGGCTGATCCCAACCCGCCCAAACTCGGCAAAGAATCTGGTCCGGCATGTCTTAACTGCAAGAAGAACAAGGCCCGCTGTGATAGGGTGCTGGCGTGTGAAAAGTGCGTAAACGCTGGCGTCGTTTGTCGTGAGGCCGAGGACAAGGGCAAGGGCAAGGGCAATGGGAACGATGGTTGTGGTAATGGCGCGCTGGCTGCTGCGCCCCCGGGCAAGCCGTTGAAGGCTTGTGCTCGGTGCAAAGAGCAGCACGCTTCTTGTGTCAGGGGCAGGAAGTGTGTTAGGTGTGATAAGAGGGGGCTGGATTGTGTTATTGGCTGAGGAACTGGTTACCTACCCTCAACTGATGGGGGATGAGGAATGTGTAGGATGGTGTAGTCGCATGGGGTTCATGGGGGATAAGGAAGGTGTTGATGGTGGCACAGGGATTGTCTTTGTCGTTGAGTTCTGGGGGTGGATTGGTCAAGGCAGGCGTAAAATATAAGCATCAGCTGCTCTGTTTCTCGAAATCCAGGCGCGGATTCAAGCAGGCAGTGGTGCAATGACAGAGAATAATGCCAAACACAAGTGACATCATCAGTTGTATATGGACGTTAATAGACCAGGCTTTTTCGCGCAGTCAGATAGTGTAAATGGGACAGATCATAACTTGGAAAAGCAAAAGAAGAACAAGCACAGATGCAGGACTTGCGTCAGTCGGCCCAGTCCAATAGGGACCTCACAAGCTTCTCAACTGTCTGCAGTGCCGTGGCTAATCCCGGACGCCACAAGACGGACAGTCTGCAAAGGAGAATGCTGGATACCTACCCAAAAAAAAACACTGTACGAGAAAAGCCTATCAACAAACAATTCAGACCCGGTACCCAAGCACCCCACTCCTAGTTCAATCTCCCCATCATCCACGATCAAACCAACTACATGCAACGATTTTGACGTCTCCCCCCCCCCATTTATTCCAGTCCCCTCTGCTTACACCTGAAGACTCCCCTCCAACCTAACATCCCTCGAACTCGCCCCCACACTCACCCCAAACACCCCCGACGGCACAACCCACTGCTGCCTGCCCGTATCCCAATAGCTCAGGTCCCGCCTCCGCAGCTTAAACGTCGCCGTGCCGCTCGCGCCGGGCTCCAACTTGAGCTTCGCAAAGCCTCTGAGTTGCCTGGGGGGGCTGGGCGGGGCCGACGGCGGCAGCGAAAGGTACAGCTGGGCGACCTCGGCGCCGGCCACGGCGCCCGTGTTGGTGATGGTCGCCGTAACCGTCGCGACTGTGTCCCAGAGGTCCGAAGGCCCGCCGGGAATGGTGGGGCCGCCTGCCGGGCCTGGGGTGATGGTTGCGGTGGTGGTGGTCTGCAGGGCAGAGTAGGTGAAGTTTGTGTAGGCTGGCAACACAAACAACATGGTTAGTCAGTAGAAGGAAAAGGTGGGGGGAACGAACGAGAAATTGGGGAGGAGAACTGACAAAGCCCGAAGCCAAACTCAAACCGCGGCTCAATCTTGGCGTTGTCGAAGTGGCGGTAATCGACATACAAGCCCTCGCGAAAGTTATCGTCTCCTCTGGCGACCGCCGTACCGTAGTCTTCCGCCTTCTTGGCGATGGTGTACACCAACTTGCCCGACGGCGAGACAAGGCCGTACAGAACATCGACCAGCGCATTCCCGTTCTCCTGGCTGGGCAAGCCCGCCCACACGACGGCCCTCACCCCGGGCGTAGCGAGGATGGTCTCGAGAATGATGGGTCCGACGCTGTGCACCACAACAATCGTGTTCTTGTTGGCCGCCGCGACCGCCTGCACCAGCTGGTTGCCGTTGTGCCACGGCTCGAGGTTCTGCCTGTCCCCCACATTACCTTCCACCGTAATATACCCCTCGCCCGAGTCGGCCGTGATGACGACGATGGCGGCGTCGGCGCCCGACACGACGTTTGCCACGCCGCTGGTGCTGTCCGAGTTGTGCAGGCCGAGCGTAGTGCCGTCGCTCTGGGCGCGGACGCGCAGCGCGTCGTAGGGCGCCACAAAATAAGGGTAGTTGACGGACCCGGACCCCCAGCCCATGCCCAGCGCGCCCGTGTTGCACCCCTTGTCCGCGCACGCGTTCATGCCTTGCGGGTTGACGACGGCCGCCGAGCCGACGAGCGCGAGCTTGGCGGGTTTCTTGAGCGGGAGGATGCCGTCGTTCTTGAGCAGGACGATGCCGTCCCTCGCGACGGCTCGCACGTTCTCCTTGTGGTTGCCCTGCACGTTGGCCCGGATGTTGATGGACGGGTAGCCCGAGTTCTGGCCGAGGAGGTACCACGCGGCGAGGATGCGCTTCGCCATGTCGTCGAGGCGCGCCCGCGAGACCTGGTTGTTGTTGACGGCCGTGTTGAGCTGGGGCCCCCAGAGCACGTTGCGGCCGTTGAAGTCGCTGCCAGGCATCGTCATGTCCATGCCGTTGTTGGCGGCGCCGTTGGTCGTGTGCTGGGCGTTCCAGTCGCTGACGATGTACCCCTGGAAGCCGAGCTCCTTCTTGAGCAGGCCGTTCTGGGCCTTGTCGCTCTCGCACGCCCACGACCCGTTGAGCTTGTTGTAGCTGCACATGACGCTGGCCACGTTGGAGTGCACCGCGTCGGCGAAGGGCCACAGGTACAGCTCATGCATGGTACGGTCGTCGACGTTGCTGCTCATGGTCTCGCGATTGAGCTCCTGCTCGTTGGCGATGTAGTGCTTGGCGCAGGCCTGGACACCCGCCGACTGAATGCCCTCGGTGGTCTCGGCCATGGCGATGCCCGCCAGGTAGGGGTCCACGCCGAAGCCCTCCCAGTTGCGGCCGCCGTGCGGGATCTTGCCCAACGCACCGGCCACAGGTCCGAGCAGGACGTGGACACCACATCCGCGGGCCTCGGCGCCCAGGTACTCGCCGCGCTGCCGGATCAGTTCCACGTCCCATGTCGAAGCAGCTTGGATGCCGGGTGTAAAGGCTGTTGTGCCGGTCCCGAAGCGGATGCCGAGGGGTCCGTCCTGGAGACAGAGCTGGGGGTAGTTGATGGAGCTGATGGCAGCCGTGTTTCCGACGCAGGGCCCTTTATCCCAGCCGATGCCTGTGACCATGTTGATCTTGTCCTGCTGCGACATTCTCGCCACGGCGGCCGCGGCCGACGAGTGGGCAGCAGTCCATGCCGCTGTGCCTGTTGGAGCAGCGCGAGGCACCTTGCAGGCGGGTTCTGCCCAGGCAAGCACTGCTGCTGTCAGCAGCGCAAAGGCTGCAAGTGTCATGGCGGTAAGACTTAATGATGCACTTGCGACAGGATTCACGTGTGCCTGACTGCTCGACGAGTGCTTGATACTCTGCCCCGAGCCGGCAGCCCCAAGTCCACTTTCCCTCTCTGGCACATCCTTTCCTCGAGGCAGGTCCCTCCGCTTTATCAGATCTGGATCGGGAGGAACCACGGGTTTCCCCTCCCGTCCCGGATCCCTCTCCGAGACATGACATTCACGATGTGTTATTTGGCCCCGCATGTCCATTTGGCCGCCCCAAGCAAACCTTCCCTGATCAGCGGTCCGCGCAGTGCTGCGTTGCGCCACAACCAGGCCAGGAAACACTCGGCACCAGTGCGCTCAACTGGGATGCCGCAGTCAATCAGCCGTGGAAGTCGTTCCGTGCGCGAGATAAATGACGCGAAAAAGCTGGGGTGCATGCGCCAGATCGGCATTGGGCCGCGGGGACCATGCAACAATGGCGGAACGTAGCCCAAGCGCCGGCATGAAGCCGAAGCGGAGAACGCTGCCGACTGGCCAGGAGAGTCTCCAGCACGCATCACAACCGGGCCGCATTGCCCGTCCTTAATTAGGCGGTGCATATCCTCCCGCCACTTCCCGTCGACTAGCCAGGAGGACCCCGCAAACTTGCTCGCTAATACCGATATACCAAGATCTGTAAAGGGCTTGTAAAGGACTTGTGTAAAGGGCTTTCGGAATTGTCAATGCCGTACGTCACTTGGCTATCGCAGCAGCGGCAGCGCGAAATTGGCATTAAAAGAGCGCTTGGCGAAGACTCCTCGCACCGCTCGTGGCCGGACCGGAGTCTGTATTTGTATTCTTCAACGCTCTATTGGCTATAAATTGCTTCGCTGCTCGATAAACAGATATATGACTTGGAGACGGCCGCGTAAGGAGGCTCGGGAGGCTCGGGTTGAGGAGGGTCTGGCAAAGTCTAGTCATGGCTCGCCATGCCCAGCGAGCGGTTGCCCCCATGGAAGACAACAAACTGCGACCTGAAGAAGACGTCGCCCCAGACCTGGAACGGCCAGGCGGTGGGTTGGATGCCGCCAAAGCACACTGTCTCCTATCAGCATGAGTTTACAGCTAAAGGTATGGGAATCTTGAACGTACTGCCGTCCTGGAACCACCCAACGTTGATGTCACTTCCTCGGATCCGAGCAGCATAGGCGCCGCCGACATCGACCACAAAGTCTGGCAAGGTGGTGTTGCAAGGGAAGGTCACGCCGCCTGCCGCGCGACTCCGCCGCGCTCCGGGGACATGGCGGTAGTACCCATCAGCCATCTTCACCGATACCAGCATTAGCGTCGTGCCAGTGTCGATGATGGCCTGGGCGGGCCGTAACCGCGTCCGGTTATTCCCGACCGTGAACCCTGCCGTAGACACTTGCCAGAAGCCCTTGGTAGTATTGGCTCGGATCCAGGCAAGCATGCCCGAATACTTGCTGTTGTCGACGAAGCCAAATTCAAAGGATCCGACAGCGTCCTTGCGGAGGTCGACGGTAAAGAGCGGTTGGGCAAGCGAAGGCATAACGTTCTCAAAAAACGACTCTGGCTTCACCGGTTTGACTGAGCTGAGCTGCGAGAAGCCGAGGCCGAGCACACCGCCGAGATAGGAGTCTCGCAAGAAGGCGCTTGAGACGTACGTTGCCAACTGGACAGCCTGGTCTGTAACCGCGACGCCGCCCACATCGACCGTGTCCGTACCTACATATCCAGAAGCGCTGGTGCCGTCGCCGTAGGTAATGGAGAAGTTATGGCCGTTTATCCTCTTGAAGGTGGGTGAAAGCGAGGGGTTGTACGCCTGGTGGGCAACCGTGGAGAGTGCTGGAAGCTCAGTGCTGAACACCCAGAGGTCGGCCGAGCCGGAGTCAAGCGCCATATTGAGAGTCTGGTCGCCGATGCTGACGGGCGAGATGTACTCGATGCCTTCGTTGACCGGGGTTGCCCACACTTTGCCGATGGTGTTCTTGGCGCCTTGTGGAAGAGGAGAATCCAGGTGTGCTAGGTCAAGCGCATTCAAAGCCTCCCGATCGGTCTGCGAATCAACCTGGAGCCCGTCATCTAGGGAAAGCAATAAGTCCTGGGGAATGGGCATGCGGTATTTCTGGTATGCTCTCGAAAGCTCCCTGGGTACATTGCGGCGTTTGAAGTCTGGATTCCGGACACGGTCCACCTTGAATGAGTGTTTCTGAATGGTGGACGGTGCTGCTGGCGTGGGTTGCGCCCACAGCACGAACAGAAGGAGTGAAAGAAAAAGAAGTGACATGGTTTCTAAGTGTCTAGTCTGGTCGATGAAGAAGAGGGTGCAGTGAGACTAAACAATGAGCTCTCGGGGATGAGTACGGCGCCAGGGTGAGATGAAAAGTCCTTGACTGAAGCCAGGAAAGAGCGTGAGCAAGCAACGGAAAGGACATTGACAGTCAACCACAAACGAGTGGCAGCCGCAAGGCAAAGTCAAGAAGAAAGGAGAAGAAGGGAGCGCATGGTTCCAAGTTCAAAAACATGCTCTCGGTGTCGTTAACATTCTTCTGAGATTGGTTCATCGAGTCCAATTGTCGCCCTCATAACATGCACTTGTCATCCATACCAGTCCCTCTGGTACACCGTATTGGCTCGAGCTGACCCGTGATTTCCATCAAGCGAGCCATTGAAATAGATTGAAGGCTGGTGAAGATACACCAGGTCGGGAGTGTTGAGATAGACTATCCGTATGATGGGCGATGCCAATTTCGGTGTCGCCTGCTGAGCCTCGAGAACAGGGGGAAGGGAGAACAACGCATATCGCCAGTGCCTTGAACTGCACATATGCGTATGACCAAACCACCCATGGAATAAGGAGAGAAATGAGGAGGGATCCAAAAACGAACTTGAGAACTTGCAAGTTTCAGGAGCAGGGATGGTGTATTGGGTCAGTTTAAACAGAAAGGAGGCATTGCAAGCTCTTTGCTGCAGGAGCTTTCGGATCTATCCGGCACTTGCCAGAGGCAAAGGCACATGGGGTATGCGCGATGGAGCAACCATCATAAAGAGCAAAGAAGGACGAATTGCGCGGGTAATGAACTATGAAGAGAGTCAGTTTGTGCAAAGAGAGTTCCCGTATATCATAAGCGAGTCGCGCATACAAGTGAGTTGCGCACTCTAACAGACTTTGATGGGGTTGTCTACGAAAGGACAATAAGAGATTGTTTGAGGGCTTAGTCATTTCTTATCGTCGTGTAGTATACAACTCAAAATCTGGTAGAGTGCACGACTCACTTGTATGCACGAGTCGCTTATAATCAATCTACGTTAACGTTGACTAACGTTAGTTAAGTTAATTATAGGGAATTTCAGATCTGGAAATTGGGACGTGTCTTTGCGAGACCCAGATCTTCCGCCTGTCAGCCAGTTGCCTCGCCTCCATCCACGTCTCTGACTCTCAGTGCACTGCACACGTGACTCTTGGCAGGCCCTATGCCCTGTGGACCGTCCGTTTCCACCAGACGGCCGTCCCCGCTTCACCGTCTCAACCCTTGAACCCTTCGCAAATAATGCGCGCCATCAGCGTTCAGTGCCAGAGACAAAAACGGCATCTCTTTCAGCCCCCCCAACATCGACCAGATATTCGGCGCGGGAACGACATGTTCAGAGATGAGCCTTAAGACCTCTTCGTTCATCTGACCAGTCTTGGGCCGGCGCCATCTGGCCTGCGATCGGAGGGAGTTGTGGCCTGGCAACTCTGCAACGACTGCCTTGGCTAGCGCCGCAGCGAGCATCGCCCAATCCATCGCCTCCGTTTCGCTCCCTTCGGCACGGCCCAGTCGCGCAACCCCAAGCTCATCGCCACTCCGACCGCATCCGCATCTGCATCCGAACCCGCGCCGGCGTCCGCCATGGCCGACGAGGACTACTCGACCGGCGGGGGGTCCTCCGGGAGGGGCTCCGGTCCTGGCAAGCACCGTGGACCTCGCTTCACCTGGAATCCGCAGTTCGAGGCCACCTTCTTCCGCTCCCTCTGCGAGTCCGTCTCGCTCGGCCTGCGCGACGGCAGCACCTTCAAGCCCGAGGCCTGGGACCGCGCCATGCAGGCCCTCGCCGAGAAGCACAACGCCTACGCCAATAAAGGCCATCTTATCAACAAAACCGACAACGCCCGCAAGAAGTACCGCCTGTGGCGCGGCCTGCGAGAGGATCCTGATTTCTACTACAACCCCCAGACACGCACCGTCACCGCCACCGACGACGCATGGGCGAGGCATCTCCAGGTGGGCTCGTCCGTGGACGCTTGTTGTGACCCTGGCACGCCGCTAACAGCTTCGCAGAAAGAGCCGCTCGCTCGTTCCCTTCGAGCCCGCCCCTTCGAGCACGAGGAATACTACGAGATACTGTTTCCCGATGTTATTGGGTCCGGCGGGGCCCCGAAACGACTGACGAAGCCGCGTCGGAAGACGACAGATACGCTGAGTGGAACAGAAGAGCCTGAGGCGCCGGGCGCCGCCATCATGGATCTGCTTACAGATACTGCTTACCTCAATCCGAACCAGACGCACATGCCCCCGCCGATGCCACCAGCCATGCCCAACCCCATGCCCGCCCCCCCTCCCCAGCCGCAGCAACTCCGTGGCCCAACGAACACAATGCCGCCACCACCGCCCCGAACCTCCGTGTCCTCCGCCTCGGCACTGACGCCGCCCGAAGAGACGGCGCTACATACCCGCAAGCGCCTACAGGCACCGGACAGCACCTCGGCGTCCAATCCATCCCAGCCCCCAGACAAACGCCGCCGCACCGCCGCCCCAGGCTACCTCGACCTGACCCAGCCACAACATCACCAGCAACAACAGCCGCAACAACAAACCACCATCAACCACGTTCCAGCAGTCCCCTCCAACGCATCACCAAACGCCACAACAACAGCGACAACAACAACAAACGCAGGTTCAACACTGACCGAGACGCTTCACCTCCTGTCTGAAGTGTTGAGGCCGACGCGAGGTTCCAAGCCGGTCCCCGGCTGGCAGGAACAGGCCATGGACATCTTCTTCCGTGACTTTGTCGCCGAGGACATGGACCTGCAGCTCAAGATCGCCGAGAAAGTGTTGACGGACGAGAACAAGGCCATGGTGTTTTGCAAGATGCCTGATACATTGAGGCGGCACTGGGTCAAGAGGCTGAGGGAGGTTCATAATCGAATCGCTTGACCTTCTTTTTCTAAGCGAGAAAAGCTAGGCGTTTTCTGGTTGAAAGGCCATGCATGCACAGAGTGGACGGTGTGGTTTGGTGAATTGGCCGTGCGTTTCGGGAGTTGTGAGGTTCCATCTGGGTCAAGGAACGGACAACTAGGGGTGCGCAGGGAGCTGGATGACAGGTTAATATGTGGGGCAAGGGGTTGCTTTTCTTTCGGTTGCTACGGATGGGAGATCTGGGACGTTTTTTTGGATACATACTTGTTCTGTTTGGGTTGTTTTGTTTCGCATGGAGGCGTCGGGTGGGTGGTGCGGTAATTTCTGGTCTGGGACTCGACATTTTCCTTGGGTTGCGAGTGTCCGTTTATTTGTCTTGTCTCCGTCTTCTCGTCCCGACGCAGATATCATCTGAACTCAAACACGGCTCGGACTTGTTGAGATTGGAAGGTCTCTCTCTTTGGGTCGGCGACCTGGTTGCGGGCTGTTTGTACAATCTGTAGGTGATAACTGCTATTCGGGATGCGTAATCTCATCTTGTTCATTTTCGCACCCTTCCAGGCATGGTCATGTTGACTCCGGGAAACTCTTTCGAAGCTCGGGATGGAATCACTCGATCAATTCAAAAAGTCCTCTGCCGCTCAAGCACAACAACTACCGCCGAACAAGACATCCGCCCACGCCGACCCCTTTGGCACCAATAGCCCAATCTGCCACCGTTTCCCTTCTCCTCAAAGCACGCCTAACTCGACCTCTGGACGGGCACGTTAGTTAGGTTCCTCGCCATCCTACAGACGTCGGGAAGAGCAGAGACATACGGACGAGATGCATCCCCTGCTCATGAGCTATGAGTGGAGCAGCCCTCGCAGGAGCAGCTGGCGCCGCAGGTGCAATCGTTGCCGCACATGTTGACAGGTGGTTGTTGTGAGTTGTTCTGGTATTTTGTTGTTTTATGCTCTTGATTCTGGTTTCGAGTTCCGCTTTGAAGGGAGAGAAGCTGGAACAGGAGAACGGGGTGAGTCGGGCCAATATTTATCTCCCCTCGTTGTCTCCCCAAGCGTCCCCCTCCTTTTTCTGCCCCAGAGAGTGGCGCCGTAGCGGGGAGGGGTCCAGCTGACAGTCGCCCAATCTTCACTTATCCGTCCCTACCGCAAAATAGACACACACAGAGAGGGGTATTCCGTGTGTTCGCGGCGTGGGCTGGGTGTGGAGGTTCTGGTCCGCGAATGGGAAGGCTCGCATCAAACCAAGTGAGAAGACCCTTGTGCTTCTGGGCGAGCAAGTTGCGCGCATTGTGCGGGCGGGGAGTGGGCTTGTGGGCACCCGCATGGTGGGTGGACACCGACGCTGATTTGGTACTAGTAAGGGAAGGTCGATCATGTCAAGAACGACCCCTCACTCAGGTTCGGGTCTCCCACTTTGCAGCTCCCCTTCCGGTCGGCGGAAACACTTGGGTGAACGGAGACACGTCGGTTCTCGGATCATACCTACCTGAATATCAGTCGTCGCCTACTTAGACACCCATCTCAACGAGTCACGACGGACAATATCAGGTTTCCCGGCACCCGAAGTTGCAGAGTCGCCGCTTACGGTACTCTCAGTCCATCCTGACTGGTTTTCCCCCTGGGATGTGCTGCCAACCGAGCAGTGACCGCACGCACCCGCCAGAGTGGCATTGAAATCACCAGTTACACGGCAGTTGAGCTTGGCAGGAGGGAGCTGCAGGCGGTAGCGTCCGGTTGGGAGGTCATTCCGATGAAACTCTCTTCTCCGGGCACTCCGCCAGACAGACATGCTGGCCAGAAACTCAGCGCAGAGATCACTCGCTGAGTTCTCTTTGCCTGTTCCATACCCGGCCTTGCTACCTACTCCTTCATAATGTAGATGGAGAAAGCCACGGATGGGTTATGTCTGTACCGTCAGCAACCCTCAGGTGATGTGTCAACATCCCAGTCTAACTGGTGCTTGGCCCTCTTCCTCGCCCACGACGTGTGCACTGCTATGGACTGTTCCTTCGCTTCCAGATCCTGAATCTAGCTTACGTAAAGTCACTGATGTTCTGTTAGTCAAGGCAGCGGCAAGTCACTGGCTCACTCGCGGGATACGGCTTGGGTTGGCGTGTTCATTGGACTGACTGGCAGAGCTGCTTGATTTAAAGCGGCATCCACGTGGGCATTCCAACCAAGCCACTGGTGAGGCCCCTCGATAGTTCGGGCCAGCAAGTCAACTTCCCCGTGGGGAATCAAAGCCCCGTGGGGAAGCGAACAGGAAACGACTTCGACAACTCCGGGTTCCGGATTCAGGCTGCAAACCGCATGTGTACTTCAAAGGTCCAAGACGGTTGACCGCGTTGCATGTATAATATGTCTTACAAACGGAAAACAACAGAATCTAACAGCCTTTTCCAATTCCCCCGTATGAACCGTAACCATAACCCCTTCAAGTTCTCTCTTGACCACTCACTGTCCAAGGAATGGAGAAGTGGAGCTTACGAACCAGTTGGATGGAGCGAGACGCTTCAAATAGTAACCAAACGCCAGGTCATCTCACGAAATCCCTACGCCGGATGGACCAACGTCCGACTGCCCTCCTCAAGAGGTCCCAAACCGCCTGGCACCGGCACCTTCTGCCGCAGCTTCGGATGACCCTGGAAACACCGGTCTAAAGGCTCACTAGTAAGTAGATGAGGGTGACAGATCATGTCACGGTATGTCTCAAGCCAGCACCGCTCAGCAACGTTAAGAATGCAGAACGCCCACAACTATAATGGAAGTGAAGTACCATTCACACACATTTACATCCTATTCGCCTTGCCCCATATTTCGCCAGACTCCATACACGTGATTACAACAACATTCCCAGTGGAATATTCCAAAGCACTTTACCGCGATTGTCAAGTCATATTTTGTCCCACTCTCCGCCCTCCAAACTAATAGCAACGAAACCTCGATTTTATTCCAAAAATCCTTGTACCTAGACCCCAATTCGCTACTTTGAAGCACGTCCGCCTGTCCCAAGTCCGCCTCCCTGAGCGCCAGTTTGGGCAAATACTATCGTTTGGATCTACATACCTACCTGTAACTGCCGGCGGCAGGGTTGAGACTTTGATTCCCACGCCTCAACCACTATACTCTGGGGCCCGATATGGGTATTTCACCCGGCCCACGAGGGCGCGGTTATCCTGTATAGTAAGTTGTTGAAGGTCCGGCACGCCCTAGGGCACAGCGGTGTAGGAATAATAATACTCTGGGCCCAGCACCCTCGTGTGACGGTCCTAGTAGTAGCAGAGCTTGGGACAGGAGGGGGACGCGATTCCGCACGACGCACACCCCTCACCTTTTGCTTTGCCTGCCTAGCTGAGCGCACGAGCGAGTACAACGCGCGGCTGCCCTCGCGGCCCGAGGCTTGTGTCCGTCGGGTTTGCCGACCCCATGATGATAACGGTTTGATCAGTGAAGGACGTGGAGGCCCTGGTCTGGTGAGGACGGGGAAGTGGGTGAGCTGGGGTACCTAGGTAGAAGCTGAGATGTCGAGGGTGAAAAGGAGTTGGAGGGCCAGTGGTACTGATGCCAGGAGGGGCAGGGAAGAAAAGGGGGATGGAAATGTAACCTGTGTGCGTAGATCAGGTGAGATTTTAACTATAGACTAAGCAGGCACCCTTTCCCTGTTGCTGCCCCTTCAACCTTTACTCAGTACAGGTCAGGTCACCCTAACCCCTACTAAGTACTAATCAAGACACCCTCGAAGCCATGCCTGCAGCTCTACCACACGACTCATCGTCCTCGCCACCACACTCCAGTCCGTCAACGCAATCTGCACAGCCGCAGCAACCATCATAGTCCTCAGGGTACAACACTCCTGCATATCCATATCCCTGGCCGTAGGCAGCGCGACAGCCAGCAGCAAAAGCAGCGTCTTGAGTGATGCCCCCTCCCATGTCTCAAGCGGCACGTTACCGACGGCCTCGGCCAGTTCGACAACATGTCCCTGTTGCACCCCCTGCGAGAAGCAACGCCGCGACTGTATCGCCCGGCAGTACGCCAGCGACGCCAGCCGGACTGCGCGGTGGAGGAGATTCATATCTGTCGACGACGACGACGACGAGGTCGGGTCCTTGCATGTATCTGTTGTTACTATTGTTGTTGCTTCTAATGATAGGAGCCGGCCGTGCACCCAGGCTGACATGGACTGGACCTTTTGGAGGTCCCATGGGGATGGGCGGGACGGTAAGGCGAGAACTGTGTCGATGAGGAAGTCGATGTCTTTTAGCATTGCTGTTGTCGAGGAATGTAGTTTTGTGCGGGGTGAGGGAGGGACCGCGGGGGTTGGATGATCGAATCCAAACCGTGTGTGGTTGAGAGAGGAGGTGGTGGACTCATGGAGAACAAGTTCGGGGTATGAGAAGGACGGAGCAACCTCCAGAGTCACGGCCGTGAGGAGATCTGCACTGGGGGATGGTTGGTAACGAAGAGCTAAAGAGCAATAGATAATAGATCATGGATGCGACTATGGTGACTTACAGGAGAACCATCTTGACCAACTCAATACCCAACGAATCCAGCTCCCCCCTCAAGCTGACCATGTTACGCACACCGTTGACGTGAACTCGCAGGTCCTGAGTTTCGCCGTAGAAGATATCGCTCAGCACGAGCTTGGCCACGGCTGCGATGGTTCCGTCACTCGTGGATGTCTCCGGTGCCGCCATCATGCCATGGAGCTGCTGGATCGAGGAGCACCGAGCGGCAAGGAGCGAGTCTCTGTCAAGCACAGTTCTCGTGCTTTGCTGACACGTCCTGAGGACTTGGTATGGCTCAACGTCAGCACTAGCTCTGACTCCATCTTGTCTTCATGTTGGGAATGAGTTTGACATACACAAGGAAAAGGGTGAACCTCTCCCAACTTGAGGCCCGAATACAAAGAATGGATCGGTATATAGTGGCACAGTGTTATAGTCCGGTTCATATTCGGAAGGTGTTGGATCTTGGCTCGTCACTGTCAGCCAACTCAGGAGCACACATGGCATGACCCAAAGCACTCTTGCCTTGTTCAAGACCAGACGCGGCCCTGAAAGTGTCGTTGGTTGCCCATGGTGAATAATGTGGTTGTACCCACTGGGTCAGGTTGATGTCCAAGTGCGCCGGCGTATCGGGAGCAGAAACTGCAGCCGTCGAACTCGGGGAGGGCGTTGAAATTGGGGCAAATTCTAGTGCCCGGCTTGGAACGAGGAGTGTTCTGGCCTGTTCACGGCCGCTTTTTGATTCAGGGTGAGCACCAGATAAATAAGAGGAAACAAACCCAGAGGGATTCCAGGGGACGACACGTACGGACTGCTCTCGTACTGGCAGACAGGCTGAGGCATCCGGCGCGCGCAGTTTCGACATGGACGCTGGTGATCGCACTGAAGAATATCAACAAAAGGACACTTGGAATGAATTATAAAGCCCACCTTTTGCTTTCTTCGCCGACATTCGCTGCAGGACCGTTTCTTCCTCTCCGCCACTGGCCTCAAGGGTAATGCAGGGTTTTTGGCACACATCATGGCAGCTCGTCGTGAACCAGTATTCGCAGGTAGTCGTGCTGCCAGTGCCAGTAGACGAATGTGATAGATATGGAGTGAAGAAGGGGAATGGTGTCCATGATGTTCGAGGTGCCCGGGTCGTCTTCAACGACGAAAACAAGGCATTATGGTGCGTAGGCGAGGTATGGTCGCATGACAGCAGGCACTCCCAGCAGTCCATGGCCGGCCCTGGCCATGTCCCGTAGGGCTGCAGCATCGACCCGCCCGTTTGGCGGTCTGGGCCACTGCCTAGGGGTTGTGTCTGTTCCAGGAAGCTTCGCCATCCGGCATTTGCCGCGGGGTGAAGCACGATTCGCCGGACTGGCCTCCGCCGAGATGTGGCGTCTGCAGGTAGCCCCCCTTTAGCAAAGCAAGGCTCCTGTAGGAGAAAGCTCCGGCGCTGCGGTCTGGATTGAAAAGGCCCCCAGCGACTCACCCAGACTGCATGGTATGTTACCCCGGCTCGCGTCGTGCAAACGATCATCTGCCATGGCCCTCAAAACGGGATATCATCGCGAGAGAGACCATCATCAGGATACAACCGAGCTGGGGTATAAACTCTGACGCCGTAATCACAAAGCAGAGGATACTCAGATCCAGGCTGTGTTCCCTGTCTTGTGTCTTGAACATTGACAGCACCCATCGTCTGAGGGCGATGGTTGAAGACAAGAAGCGGTTCCTGTGACGTCGAACGGTTCCCTTCATAAGCGAATGACGGGAAACTGACGAGAGCCTGGGGACCGAGAACACTTCGGCTTCCGGCTTCGCTTGTAGACCAGTCAGATCCAGCCCTTTTATTTGGAGGCCGACAAAAGCACCTGGGTGCGGTCTCAGGCACAGGAGGGTAACATAGAGGTGCGAGTCAATCCCTGATAGTCGTAGAGATGGCTAGGTAACTTTTGAGGGCTGTACCGTCATCTTATCCATGTCGGCTCAGGTAGCCTCTAACTAGTTGAATGCTCGAGTTGTGCGAGTCAAGGGGGTTGCGAATTGATCCAAACGGGACGATCATGTCCATAAAGGCCAGGCCAGCCAACCATTGCGAACCTGAATCCCAATCAGGAGGGACACAGTACAGGTCGTCAGCGGCGCGTCTGGGGCGCGTAGAAGTTCATGGGAAGCACATCCGCCGCCCTGTCGTACCCCAATGCTGCCGAGAGTCCATTTTGGAGCTACTGTGTAGAGTCTGTAAACGGGAAACATCGCGATCATCTCTTGGCGCACAACTGCGTCAATGTGGGCCACCTCACCGGTCGAAGCTGAGTGCGAAATTAACAGTGACAAGTTAAGAAGAGATATGGATTATGGGATTATACACAGGCCGACGCAAAGACAACGGGAAAGAAAACTGAAAGGCTGCCGGAGAGGAGGAATTCCATCGCCCGCCCTTGTCAAGACCCTGTGACCACGCCGTCGCCAATCTTTGTGCCATCCATCTTAGAGGGACTCTGTTCGAGCTGCCCCATATGTCAGTAACGCACCGCTCATTGCTCACTCGCCTTGGCCCGGGAGAAGTAGCTACCACACCGTCAGCACCTGTCTCAGCAACCGAAAATGGTCCAAGGGAACAGAAGAGAAAGGAACTCACTTCACCAAAACCCCCTCCACCGCCCCAACAGCCCCGAGGACACCCAGCCCAAGCCCAACCTCCCTCCACCCCAGCCTGCCGCGATCATACAACCCCCATGCCCTGTACCCCAGCCATCCACTCAGTCCAACCACGGCCAGCATATTCACCAGCGCCACGCCACCGGCCGCGCCGCCCTCCGAGATAGTCCCAAACTGCCTTGCAAACCACCCCTCGGCCTGCTCGACGCCCGCAACGACCTTCTTCTTGGCCGCCGCCGCGGGCTTCTTAGCGGCGGCCCTCTTGCGCGCCAGATCCGACTCGGCACGCTCCGCTTCCGCTTTCTCTTCGGCAATCTCCACAAGCTCTTCCTCGCGCTCAATGCGCGCCGCCTGGGTGTCGGTCTGGATCTCTTGGGAGGCAAAGTCCGAGGGGACGGTGCGCACCGAGGGGGCGTCGACGTCGACCAGGGAGCCGGTTGACGAGGCTGTCGCGGTGGTGGGGGCGACTTGGGGCGGTTGGGGCGCTGCGGCCTGTTTTGGGTTGCGGGTCGTGTTAGTTTTTCTGCTGGGAGGAAAGCGTGCTGTAGGAGAGGATAAGCGGGAGGAAGATAATACCTCCTCTGGAGTCTGCTTAGGTCCTTTGGACGCGACTTCGGCGTACGACACTGCGTGAAGGTTAGTTGGGGTTTGGTTATCAAACGCGATAGCTGGGGGGCGCGACTGCGATGGGTTACTTGCTCTTGATATTCTTTTGGAGAGAAGCGTGAACTGTGCCGGACTGTTGACTTGCTGCGATGAAGCTATTCGCGTTGATGGGAATACGGTGGTGGTTGTTGCGAGTTTGATCGGGTGAGGTCACGATGTTAAATCGGGTCCGGACAAATCGAACAAATAGGCGGGAGGTGACGGCCACATGTGATGACCAAAACCGGCACCTGCCCACTTGGTGACCTCAGCGTAGAAGACGAGGACGGTTGCAGCCAAGCAAGGCCAGAGCAGCCAGGCAGGGCAAGATCGCGCGGCAGCTGCGATGACGTCACGGCTCCACACAAGAGCAGGTGCCAAGACCCAGGGTAACTGAGAGGAAGGCCGAGATCTAGCTGCGGTGCCGGTGCCTCGTAGCTGTTCAAAGATAAAATATGATGGCGTTACTTTTCTTTGTCCTAGACGCCGACTGCAAGCGGGGCTGAATGAGAGAAAGGTCTATTGAGCCTCTATCTAAATAGTATACATCAAGAGTCGTACAATGTGCGTGGCTCCAGCCCCCTATACACCCAGCAGCAAACACGCCGCTTCGCTCTGCATCCACAGCTTGTACAGGCCGCGAATTTGGTTTGTACATTCATTGCTGCTTGCCCTTGTTCGCGTCAGTCGCGTCGGTAGCCGGCTTGGGAGGCTTAGCCCTCTCTTCTTTCTCAGCCCGGGCTGCTGTCTTCTCTTGCACCGGCTTCGCTTGGCCATCCTCGACCTTTGCCAGGGTATTCTCCGGAGCAGGAGCCGCCTCCTCGTCCTCATCGTCGGCTAACTCGGAGCCGTAAACCTCGGGGTACTTCCGGAAGCAGTCCTGCATGTGTCTGGGAAGTGTCAGCGGTTCATTCTTCTCCTCCCTCCGCGCCTAGAGATACGCACTGGAACTTGTCGATGCAGTCCATCCCCTTGGGCTCCTCCTTGGAATACACAAAACAGCTAAAGGCCGCCTTGAACTCCTCGCCGCACGGCCCGTGCGCCATGCCGCCCAGGCACGGGCAGTCCCAGTTGATCTCGCCGGTCTCCGGGTCGAACGCGCCCTGCTGCGTGGCCTCCTGCGCCAGCGCCTCAGGCGAGCCGGGTTCGTGTTCTTCCTCAACGGCAGGCGCTGGTGTTGCCTCGGTCTCAGCGGGCTTCGCTTGCTTGGTCGTTGCCTCTGTCGTCTCTGCCGGCTTCTCCTCGACTGTCTTGGTCGGCGGCGGTGGTGGTGGCGGGGCGGCAGCCGCTGCTTGGCGCCGCTTCTGCTCCATCAAGGCATCGACGGTGGGGAGGTCGGCATCGGAGAAGTGAGCCGGCGCAGGGAGTGCGTCGGCTATATGCCGTGTTAGTCAGTGTCTGGGTGGGAGGGCTAAGGTAGCGGACGCGCACCCGGTAGCTCATCGGCAAAGATAGGGCTGGTGTTGTAGAAGTAGACGGCGCCAATGGCGAGACCCCATCGCAGGGCGGTGCCCTTCCATGTGCCCTTCTTGTTTGCCGGCGCTGTCGAGGCGAATCGCCGGGGCCCTGAAGCGAGCTTGGGCCTGAGTGCGCGTACCGCGCGGGGCGTTGACTGGAGGGCTGTGCGGAACATCTTGTTGGGAGGAATAATGACGGGGCGCTACCGTGCGAGAGAGAAAACTACCGACGCGCAAAACGAAGGTGGCCGCCGCAACCCTCCTGGAATCCCGAGCTTCGTTTGTCAGCAGTTCTCATCGCTCTGGCCAAAATTTCTGGCGGCGTCGCGGTTGAAGCGGGAATTTGCCGGTGCGCGGCCATTGGTCAATGGGTGTCACGAGACCCACATTTATTTGCTTTTGAGGATTGTCTAACTGAACCACTTCCTCCCTTCAAGACCAATCTTCACAGTCCCGCCTTCAACATCTTCCCGACCTGCGCGAGGTCCTGAGAATCTGACTCTGATTCTTAAGCTCCAAGGTGTCTCCGCAGTAACAGCAACCATGAATCGCTGGGCGGCATTGGAAACAGGCACGAGACCTCCTCGTGTTGTCTCTCCTCTACGTTCTATCAACCGCCCATATCGCGCAATCCTGCCACTCTGCTTACCGTATGGTCCCCGGCCCTAGTGCTCTCGTTCGCAAACATTTTTTCGTAATGGCAACCCATGTCAGGGTTGACCATCCCATCGAGATGTTCAGGCCACCTCCCAAGCCTCCAGCAAGTTGCATAGGTTAACATGGAACTAGTACACCGAGTCAGTTCTGTCACGAAAAGAAATCGCAAGCGTGACTTATTTATGCATACTCACTTCGCCTCCATCGCGATGGGGATCTTTTGTACCACGGTTCCTTGCTCCGCTTTGTCCCTCAGGCGGTAATGGGCCAGGCAGCTCGAAGCGATCCAGTTCACGACTTTGAAGGATCCCACCCCCGATGCTTCATCTTCAGCTTGGCAATCTTCTCCTTGACCTTGGGGCTGACAACATCATAGCCAACATTGGATGCCGTCTAAAGTCCCCGCGATGTCCTGATTGTCAACGTCAGCGTGTCCTGCTCCGCCTGTATCCAGCTTTTCTTCAGCCCAAGAATTCCGGCGTACCTTGTCTTATCCGGTCGACCCTCCTCTTGCTCTGGCGGCTTGTCACGTTCCTCGTTCCGACCTGCCTCCACGTCCTCACGACCCTCGTACTGTCGGTCATGGCGTCCACGTCCCGAACCACTTCCCAGGCGTCGTTGGCTTCCATGGTGGGCTTTGGGTCTGCGGCGAGGGTGAGTAGTCGCTGCTCAGCTGTGTCGCGGGCCGTCCTCGTGGCGCGGCGTCAACCGCGCCACGAGGCCTGCAGGAAGCCAAGCGTTCGGTTCATCGTCCTTGGGAGGCAATATGTCGTGTTGCTGGGGAGTGAAGGTATGTTCCGTTGTTGCAGCTCCCTGCTTTGTTAAGGGGGAGGGCAAGACAAAGCTGAAATAGCAGAACGGAGGTTGAGGAAGCAGCAGTCGAAGTGAACAAAAACAGAAGACAGAAGCTGTCCCGCAGGTGAAAAAAACGACAAAGAAGCGGATTCAGAAACTGGTGATGCTTTAGTCGACATATGTAGGCTTGGCCGACTCCTTATTGATGACGACCATTGTCAGTCAAGGCACTGAAAGGCATCAGTGGATGCTTCACCGCGCAGGTCTCAACTTCAGGCGTAGCTTATTACATGCCATTTACAAGTCATCCTGGTCTCACATGTGTGCATTGGAAAGAGTCTGGTGCGGACAACGTTGGTGTATGCCTAGGTCCTGCATGTCCTTTCGCGTGTAAGTGTTGTAAGGGGCAGTCTTGACTTACACACAATGAGGGCAGCTGGGCAGGTTGACAGCTACCTCAGACAATTGCTGTAAAGACCCCACTTTTAAACCACAACTCTCCATCTAAAAGAACTGCAAGCCATTCTCTCATCGCCCGACAGTATCACATGTAACTTGACCATGGATTCATGTAATGTCCCGTTAGAGGCTGGACAGTTGGACACTTTCGAGTGGCATCCGGCCGATCTGATCCGGCCGCCTGCCGATGGCCAGAATCCCTACTTTGCGCTTATTGTGCTCAACCAGCCCCTGCAAACTAACCGGAGTGTGATCCGCCAACTATGGAATAACGGTCTGTAACAACATTGCAAACTGTGAGAGGAGAAAACCAGAATAACAATTCTCAGCATACATCCGCATCGCCGCCGATGGCGGCGCGAACCGCCTGTATGACGCAGCTGGGAAACATGGCGATGGCTGCTTTGTGCGCACCCCCTTTCACCCCCTTCATCACAACTTCTCATCCTGATCCCTGGCAGGACGACCTACATTCCATAATTGGCGACCTGGACAGCCTGACAACAACAACACAGGCCTACTACGAAACCAGGAATGCCGACATCATCCGCGACCCCGACCAGGAGTCAACCGACTTTGGCAAGTGTGTGGCCTACATCAGACAGCATCACCAGGCACTCCCTGCCCAACACCAAAATGTAGATGAGGCAAGAACACACGCGAGACCACCACCCGACATCGTCGCCATCGGCGGCCTCGGGGGGCGCGTCGACCAGGGCCTGAGCCAGCTGCATCACCTGTATCTCTTCCAGACAGACCCGCGCTACGCCGATGGGCGGTTGTACCTCTTTAGCGGGGAGAGCCTGACCTTTCTGCTCAAGCCAGGGCGGCATATTATTCGAGTGAGGAATGATGAAGGAGGAGAGGAGAAGGAGAAGGGGTGCGGTGGTGTATTTGGCAAGCACGTGGGCATCTTGCCTATCGGCGGGACGAGCCGCATCACGACCAAGGGGCTGGAGTGGGATGTCACGGACTGGGAGACGAGGTTTGGCGGGCGGGTTAGCACGAGTAACCATGTGCTGCCAGACACCAAGGTGGTGGAGGTGCGGACGACCGAGGAGGTGCTGTTTACAATTGCGCTGACTGCGGGAGAGGGGCAGTGGTAGGTTATTGAATATTTGTTGTGCATGACAAGTCAGGGAAACGGAGCTGGAAAGGTGCATGCATAGACGGTGGAATAGTTGGCAGGAATGAATGTTCCAAATTCGCAGCATACCGCCCGTGCGCCCAACTCCGCGCTCAATGATCTAGCGACATTGACGGGACAGAGCCTTGATCAGGCTACCGCAAATAGTGCAACACCAGCCAGCAAAACACAAAAAACACCACGACCCCTCCCCCAAACATCCACTTGTCCTCCTTGGCCCGCCGCTCAATCATGCGAATGGTATCCCCCGAGATGCCCAGCGTGTTACCCACCGAGTACAGCCTCCGCTGCGTCGACTTGAGCATCTCCCTCTGCTGACTCAGATCCCCCAGCACCGCCTGGCCCCGGGCAATGTACTCGTCCAGCGCGGAATGCGTGCTGGCAAAGAACTGCTGCTCCCTCAGCGCATGACTCTCCCTCGTAGTATCCCCGCTGCCCATCATTCCCAACCCGCCAGACGAACTCCCCCCCGCTTCAGCTATACTCGTCGTCCTCGCATGGCCCCCACCGCCGCCATACCCAAAGCTCGACGCCGTGACGGGCCCCCCTCCCGAACTATTTGCGCTCGCGTACGAATTCCCCGGCGTAGCCGCAGCAAAAGGCCTCCTGCCAAGCAACTCGGCCCTGTTCTCGGCGTGCGCAGCCTCGTCGCGCGCCGCCTTCAGCGCGTCGACCTGCGCGCGGAACTCGGCTAGCTCGGCGCGGAAGTCGCGGATGCGCTCAAACGCTTTTTCTTGCTTTGCCGGGTTGAGCTCCTGCTTGGCGAGCGTGTTGTATTCGTCTATTGTCCGGGCGAAGGCGGTCAGGGAGGCGGAGAGGGAGCCTAGCGCGGCTGGGCTGGGGTGACTTTGTGGGGTTTGTTGTTGGGAAGAGAGAATCGACAGGTCTTTGCGGATTGTTGTGCGCTGTTTCAGCGCCGAGTTGAAGGTTGTGTTCTGGTGGTACCGGAAGAGGTTAGGAGATGGACAGTGTGGGTAGGATAGGGAGATGAGGGAAATGGGCGTACCATTGTGGGGGGGGTTGGAGGCGTTTCGTGGATGTGATGGTCTAGCTCAGTGGTAGGTGGAATATTGGACCGGAAGACAAAATTGTCCGTTTCTGCTGTTGTAGCGTTGGCTGTGATGTCGTTTCGTTATTCTGTAGCTGGCTGTGCTGTCATGACACTCTGCAAGCTGGCATTTGGAGTTTGGGTCCCAAAGTCGTGACCGACAGGATCCACGGTTGGCGTGCGCTTATCCAGCGCCAAGCGCATACCAAAGTTAAGGTAGTGGGTCTCCGGCTTCGACCGCCGGCCGGGTCACGGCACCGCAGCGGCTTGGCCTTCGCTTCTGATCAACACCACAACAGATCGTGGTTCAAATGTGTCAGAAGTCCGTTCTCCGATCACATTAATTCAGAACATCAGCAATGGCATAAAAATACAGCAGTCATTGAATAAACCAGAATTCAAGGTACCGTAACCGGTTAAACTTATTCCTGTTTCGTTCCAAGAGATTGATTGAAGATTCCTGTTTCTCCTGTCGCTTTTTGTCTCCTGGAAGCAAAGACTGTGCCCGGCTGCAGATATCAGATTCATGGGGAACACAGGTAAGACTCACATGTCACTTATTGGAACATGCATGACACTGACTGATACAGACCGAATATAGAATATCCCCAGCACTTTGAAGTGTCAGGCATCAGTCGCTAGGGTGAAGAAACATGCTGCTCAAGTACGCGGCTGCTCCACAAAAGACCCTGGGATATCCTGATGTCCTCGCTCAAACAACATCTCAATACACACCCCACCCCGCGCCCCTACGCGACACGGGTCTTAACCTTGCGGTACCGGATAACCTCGACCCCCTCGTCATCCACAATCCGCTCCGCCACAATCTTGTGCCCCCTGACAGCCGGCCAGAACTTGGTCCACAGCGTCCAGTAGATGCCGCCCAGGATCAAGACGCCCACGCCGACCACGGGGAACACATAATACGGATAGCCATCCGCCCAGAAGTCGCCGTCGGCGGGCGGGATGAAGGGCACGATGGCCAGGAACGCGTTCATCAGCAGGAAAATTACGATGACGGGCAGCCATGTCCGCCAGGCCGGGTTCCACGGCTCCTTGGTCTGGAAGTGCAGGTAGATGAGGCCCGCGGCGACGAAGCTGTTGATCCAGGCGCCCGGGTACGTGTACAGGTTGACGATGAAGTTGTACGCCGGTCCCGGGGGCGGCGCCAGCAGGACGATGATGGTTACCAACCAGTGGAGGAACAGCTGGAACATATCACACACAGAGGTCAGTTTTGACATGTACAAAAAAAGAAAGAAAGGCCCGAAGAGACGGAGAGAGAAGGGGTGGGGAGAGAGAAAAGAAAAAAAAAAGAGAGATAGAGAGAGAAGGGGAGGTGGGGAGAAAGGGGGAGAGAGAGAGCGAGAGAAAGAGCGAGAGAGAGAGCGAGAGAGAGAGCGAGAGAGAGAGCGAGAGAGAGAGCGAGAGAGAGAGCGAGAGAGAGAGCGAGAGAGAGAGCGAGAGAGAGACTGTGACTTGGAGACTTACCGCAGCAGCAGGCGAGTTGAAAGGCTTGTTGGACCCCCACAGCCGACTAAGCGGCAGCAGGCCCTCCTTGCCCAGTTCCTGGTTCAGGCGCGCATGGGCGAAGCTGACGGCCAAGACATTGCCGAGGTTGCTGAGCGCGACAAACGCCGGCAGGCTGCGGGCGCCGGCGCTGTCGCCAAAGACGTTCCGGAAGAAGAGCCCCGCGACGATCACCTCGGACGTCGCCAGGTCCGACTTGGGGATGGCGGCGAAGTAGGCGACGTTTGCGAGCACGTAGAGGATTGTGACCCCGCCGACGGCGAGCGGCGCGGCGATGGTGAGGGTGCGCCGCGGGTCCCGGATCTCGGAGAGCACGTAGTTGGCGTTTTCCCAACCTTTGTAGCTGTACACGATGTTGAGCAGGGCGTTGGAGTAGGCGTAAGCGCCGCCGCCGCCGTACCCTTCGCCGGACTCGATGGCGAACGCGTTGTCGAAGTTGTGGGGGTCCGGGACGAGGCGCCGGCCCGCTAGGGCTGCGAAGCCCGAGAAGACGATGAACACTAGGACGGCCACCTTGAAGATGCCCAGCACGTTGAACAGCCGGATGCCCCATTTGGGGGCCACCGAATGAAGCAGTACGGAAAAAGTGACGCAGGCAACGCCGATGCCACGGGCCCTGTAGCTGTCCTTGAGCTCGTTGCCGGCCGCGTAGAGGATATAGCGGCCAAAGGCGAGCGAGTTGCCGGATGAGAAGCCGAGCAGAATCATCTGGGAGGCGAGCACGCAGGTGGCTAGGTACTTGGGATGGCGGTAGATGTGTTCTAGGTAGTTCTTTTCGCCGCCGGAGCGAGGGATGGCCAGGCCGAACTCGAGCCAGACGCTGAGGCCGCAGAAGGTGAGGAAGCCGCCTAGATTCAGAGTCAGCCATGGCATGCTTGAAAGACGCTAGTTAGGTAGGGAAATGTCTCACCAATAACCCACAGCATCAAGCTTACGCCGACCGACCCCGTGGCTGCGAAGATGCTCGAAGGCGTCGAGAAGATGCCGGTCCCAATCATCTTGTTGAGGATGAGGAACACAGCGCCTGTAATGCCCAGCTTGCGCGAGTCGTCGTAGGCATACTTGTTTTCCTCTTTGATCTCGCCGACCTCGACATCTTGCTGAACCGGTTCTTTCTGGACATGGTCGTTCAGCTCCTTGGGGGCCGCCTCGCCGCTCGAGGACTTGTCGAAAAGAGCCATGTTGACTCGCTGCCTCTGCAATCGACGGAGTACGTGACTGTGGGGGAGTAAAGGTGTCTCAAAGTGCAGCGGATGCTGATCTTTAATGGATAAACCTTCATGTATGCCATGCAACCTGCAGCAGACCCCCGCGTTTGCGCTCAAAGTCCCTAGTAGATCAGTAACGACGGGTCGCAGATCAGTGGCGGCTGGTGACGCGACCAAAGCGTTGCACTGGCGCCATCCATCGTAAATCTTGGCCGTCTGTGTTTCAGGCTCGTGAGTGCTGCAGACATGGCATTTAGGATCCTGGACGCCACGAGATGGTTCGGACTGTCAGCGAAAGGTCAAACGATGTCTGGCTTCATGCCGTTCTGGGCAAGCAGTGCCGATGACATGATTGGGCTCTGGGATGTCATCCCGCGAGAAAGCGAATGGAACCCAGAATATTTGGTGATGCTGGGAAAGTGAGAAGATCCATGCTGCCTGTTCAGGCCCTGCCACGAACCAACCGCGGGCTGTGATGGCCGTCTGCAGGTGCTGAATCAGGAAGGTCGTCAGCAGGGAAGCTCGGCGGCCACCCGGTCGAATCCGCCGATGTCGTGCTCCCGGCCAAGCATTACGGAAGCATCCGCCGACCAACCTCAACGGTTTTCGAATGCCTGCCTTCCTATGTAGGTCTTACAGACGCCTGGCATCCATGTTGCTTGGCGTCGGGTGATGTGACGGTGGTGGTTGAACATTTCGCGGCTTGGAGCCTGGAACGAGTTCCAGCTGAGCAGACGTCCCACGGTATGACCCGGTGTTTCGTTGTCTGCTTGTTGCGGGTGGTCGCTCGAGTCTGGTGGTGTTGACCGGTTGTTGATCGGAGCGTGCGGCTGTTACTGTTAGAACATAGGGGGAACTGTGAAGTTGATGACCCCTTCGCGGATCCCCTCAGTCAGCTTCTTCCTCTCCCAGCAGGCATCGACCGCCGGAATGACGATGTTCTCGAAATCGTCTGGATCGACGCCACCGATAAAGGAGACTGAACAGTTGTGCTCGACAGTCGTAAGGTTGGCGTAATTGACCCGGAACTCATTGGCGAATCGTTTGGTCTCCACATAGAGGTTAATTAACCCGTACTGGATCAAAGCCCAGCTGTGGCTCTCCCATAACCATACGAGGCGTCTTTCCGGACTGCCGTATGATTCCGTGTTTCGACAGTTTGAACCCCCTTTTGGGTGCAGGCCTGACGCTCGTACGTCCGGATAGGCCTATATAACAAGTTAGTACCTTGGGTGTTAAAGGAATATCATACCAAATAGATGCTTCTTACACGCAAACACTATGCCCCTCATCGTTTGCTGCTACAAGAAACCGCCAAAGGCCTTCATAGTAGGTCGCGCCATTATGTTCGCGTGGGGTTTGCTGGCCCATCACCTCATGTGTTGGTAGCCCTGCGATAAGTGGTTCGGCCGGAAGGACTTTGAATATCTGCCAGTGGTCGGTCTGCCAGTGGTCGGGAGTGTATTAACAGCGCGAGAATTACAAAGATGAGGGTGTAGGTTGCAGACCTCGCTAGGCCGAAATCTAGAAGAATGCTCAACAACATATCCTGGACCGTTTAACTACACCTATAGAGTCTTTAGGGTGACCTACCATCGTGTGTAGGGACTTGTCCTAGCACAACGCTCCCGGCCGTGGTGGCATGGTACGGATCCACGTCGCCCTGGTCTTTGCTTCCAGACAACACGAGCTGTCTCGGTCCTCGAAAACTGCGCTATCAGCCTCCGTGACGGTGCTGGTGCTTTCGGTAGCCAACGGTGTCCGGTGTTGAGGGCGGGCCGCTGTCGCAAGACGCCCGCTGGGCAAGTGATCATCGGGTTCGACTTGTTAGTCCGAGTCGTTCGATGGGGCCGAGAAAGTGTCGGAGGCTGGGTAGGGATCCGTCACGGTACGCTAGCTCAACTATACTGCCTATGCATGGGGACTCCGCACTCAGAAGAGCCTGGGGGTTATATCCGCCCGTAGGCAATGTGTCTTGTGGTCCAGGGCGAAACACGGAACCTCCAATCGCGCCCACGGCTACCAGAGTAAAGCCGAGAAATGCGTTCCCTAATTTCCGGCTCGCCCGGAGTTGCCGAAGAAGGACGGAACTCGTCGCTCGAAGGGGTTGGTACTCGCGGTACTCGCGGTACTCGCCGGTACGGTTCGTGGTACACTGGGCCTGAGCGAGAGGTACTAGTTGGGCTTGCGGTGGCTCCATGGCTACGTGAGGTGGTAGATGTCGACGCAGGCGTTCCTTCTCTCTGCGAGCCCCGATCACGGCGGACAGTGGACTTCCCTGTTTTCGAATGGGCGGAAGGCTGGGTCACGCTTCCATTGAAGCCACCAACTTCATGATGGTTGCTGAATCGAGCCTCCTTCGTGTTTTGAGAGAGAAATTTGGGCGCCTAGCGCGTTGTTGGGCTCCCAGTCCGCTGCTCCGTTAAACCATGGGTATTCCCCGGTGTCCTCCACAGTGTCTTGGATTACGTGTAACGTACCACGTTTTATAGTTTGCATCTTCAGGGCCACGAAATTTCGACAATCCGGGGTGCGCAAGATCAAAGACCGATTTGATTCCAGCCATCCAATATGGCCGATTCGCTGTCAACCAACTATGGCTATCAGTACGACTCCTGGGAGTTGAAGAAGACACCGGGGTACACTCACCACCATGGTTTTGAGTCTCGATATCGCTTGGGAAAGAAACTTGACCGCGTTCAGGAATCTGGTTGGTCTCGTTGCGAAAAAGCACGCCACCCGACATGAATTCCGCCATCGTTGACGGATCATGGAGCAGAAGTGGTGACGGATCTCACTGAGCGAACCTGTTTCGTCTTGTAAAACCTTGACCAGTCCTGAGGATGTGCTCGCGTTTATGATCTGGGCGATAAGTACGCGGATCTTTGCTGCGGACGCGGCGCCACCGCTGCGAAAAGGAGTCCCTAGGAAGATGATGCCTTGGGTTGCATCCAAAACTTCCTCTTCAACCCCCTCCGCCCTGGACGCGAGACACAATGCCTTGGGCAGAATAAAGCCGCCATAAAGGACCCAATGAAGATGATGGGGCAACTGCGGCGGCGCTCTAGGTGCTCCCGGGATACTGCTCTCAGAAACTCTTGCGCATGATGGTGGAGGTACTGGCCATTGGCGTGGGATATCATGGCGGCATTCCAATCGTGTATGTGTATCCGGGCAAAAGGGGAATAGTGCGGGAGCATGTCCTCATCCCTGAGCCAGTGCACAAGCCGAGATGTCGCGTCCCCCTCTTTCTCAGACGCTTTGAATGTTCGCGCAGAATGTGTGTCTAGACCGTGAATGGCAATTATGCTAGAAGTCATCTCAGCATTGCCGTTCCCCGATTATATAACACGAGATATTTCGAGGACAACACACTCACAGCAGTTGAAATCTGGAGTTGCCCACCTCTTCCGGGCTGGGATAAACCAGATTGAGGCCCAACTTCCTCTGCGCCGAGGACTCGCCCGCCTTGTTATGAATCGAGCACTCGTCAGAATGGAACTGAGTAGCTCTGTGATTTATCTCGTAGTTAAGGTAGCTGAGACCGTAGAGATGGCGCGTGGGAATCTGAAGTGCATGTAGAAGGAGATAAATGAAGCGCAGCAGGAGGCGATCCGTGAAACGTTTCCAGGGAGATTCCGGGAGCTTCGGGCGGTTAGGGAACTTAGCATTAGCCTTAGGCGCAATGAGTGACACCGCAGCGCCACATGCAGTCGCTAGGTTCCGAAAGCCAGAATACATGTTATGGTGTTCCAAAGTTCCCCAGCAGCAAGAGGCATCCTTACAAGACATAGGGAACCTTTGATGATACTTCCTATCCTTCTTAGGGAGTGTCTGCTTTTAACCCCTCGCTCTTCGCGTTTCTCTTGTGAGCATCTCATTAAAACTAATTGACTACTTATTGCTGGCGAGGCAGATCAGCTCTGGCTGTTTTCAGCTGGACGTCGGGTGAGCCTTCGGACTCTGAGCCTCTAACTTTGTGCGTCCATTTCAATAAGAGGGCAACACGTACCTAGCTTTGCAAGGCACAATCCTGAGTGGACTTCCCTCAAACTGAGAGGATATCTCGTGAGCCATGAGCGGCAGAGGCAACCAGGCAAACAACTCCTAACTAATCTCCCAACCCACCACTTCGGTCATTCTTTTGTATGTAGGGCTAGGCAAGGCATGTCATTACGTACTGGTGGGCATATCTTACAAGGGCTGGCTGCGCCGGCTCTGCTCGGGCACTAATGGCAAACAAAAACAACAACCACTTCGTTCATCTTCCACCAGGTGCTCGTCAAAAGACCCTGCGCCATCAACATGCTGATATCCACCCCTTCACCATCCAAACCGACCCCTAGTCAAATCTTAAATGCCAAAGAGCAGCTGGTGGAACCAAGTTACTCTTCCGGAAGGACAACCTTGAGTTCTCGCCAGGAGTACCCCAAGTCCGGCTGCGCAATGCTGGGAAGGTTGGATGCTACCTCCAATCTAATCTAGCCATCCCCTAGCTCGAGAGACTCGCTCCGTGTCTGTTCTGGTACGCAAATCATTGCGCGGCTACACAAAGTTGACTGTATGTTGACTACCTTGGGTAAACTAAACTAACCTTGAAAACATCCAAGACCGCCACCCCCAGAAGTTCCCACATCTGTCCACTTCATCACCACCAAACGCAAGGGCGCGAGATAGTGGTTCGGTAAAGACCTCCGTCTGCATCTTCTCTGGCACAAGGACAGAGTCTACATCAAACCCATACCCGCCTACCTGCTCTCCGCAGCCATCTGGGACTACATCCAGATCGTGGATTCATCCATGTTCAAGACCGCTGTGGGTTTCATGCGAACTTATGTTTACCTGATCCGATATGAGACTGACTTCCGCAAGGCAACAAGCGCGGGATTAGGATTGATACCAACAGCTCATCAAACACCCCTAATTTTCGAAGCTTTTGTCGAGTTCGTCTCCCAATCCAAGAGTTAGTGATGACGACGTCTCGCCGCACTGCTCGTACGGCCAGCTCCGCCTGGCCAGAGTAACTCATCTGACACGACTGGTGCTGCGGAAATGGTCCTACTTCCCTCGTTATTCGCATCTGGCTGACAAGCTGGCGTACCGCTGTCCTGGCGTCTTTCTCGGTCGTGCCCATCCTCCTCAGCTGCACGCAGGTCGAGATTGCCGTGATGGGTCTGAGCGGAGAGGAGACATGGCCTGGTTTCATTGCTGTGCCAAGCTGGTTTCCCGTGGCCATGATGGCGCTCATTCTCACGCTGCTTGCGGCCATTCCCATCTTGGCGGTGGGTATTCTGCTGAAACAGGCCGTGTTTACATTGTCGGTCTTACGGGCGAATAAGAAAGACAGGGAGAAGGCGAGGGCTATGAGCTCGTCGGTAGTTGGATGAAGAGTTTGGTGCTCATAGTGTTGTGTCGGTCGGCCCGATCCTGAAGGCATCGCGATGACCACGCCCGTATTCAAATGTGGTGCTTTTTATCTTGTTGAGAGCGACAAGCTGAACTTTTCTGTTTCGGTCCTTTCGGAGCCTGAGGTTGTGGGACACATGCGCAGGCGACCTAGGAATGCAGGAAACGCGGGCGGCCGTGGAGCTGGCGCAGACAGTCATAAATGAGACAAAAGCAATTTTGGCTCAGTAGTTCTCAACTTCTCCTCCAACTATTCCGGGCCATGCATGGGACTCCAAGACTCTGGGAGTGTCTCATTCATTACCTGCAATCAACGATTCCCGCTTGCAAGCCACCTGCATCCCATCACAACAATCACTGTACAAAATTACTAAAAGATGGGGTTAAGCACCATCCTATGCGGGTTCAGAGTCTCCGTCGCCGTCCTCGACCGCTTTTTCGAAGCCAACGGCGTCATGCCGACCTTTGGTTACCCTCCCCTACTACCGCGCCCGTCTTCCCCCCGGCCCATCCGCCCGAGGACTTTGCGACCCAGGGCCCGCACTCGGCATTCATCCGCACCAAACTGGCCGCCACCCCGGCGGGCGCCGCCGACACCCACAACCAAAATACGCGCAGTTGCATCCTCAACAGAGAGGGAAACCTCATGGCGACGCACGTCTACGTCCATACGCCTACGTCATGGTGTTTTGCCAGCGACAGATCTACGTCGCGCGCGAGTTGCCAGACCAGACCCCGCCGGGCTTCGCAGAGCTGCGCAGCGAGATCCTAGGGTTCGCCAACGAGGACGAGGAAGGCCTGCTGCGGGTCGCGGATGTGCAGCCTGCCGGCACCGGGGAGGGACAAGTTCGGCGGGCATGCTGTTTATCGTCGTCACGGACGAGCGCGGGTATCCATAGAAGGGTCCTTTTCTGCGCGAGGTGAGTTCTTTTCCTTCCTATATACCTTACCAGAGTGCGAAATCAATATGAGCTTTCCCAATCGGACCGCTGTTGCGACCAGTGCCCGGAGAAGTTTGACAGTTGGCTCTCTTGCAGGAACACCGAGAGGAAGCGCACGGAGTTGTCCGGAAGAGAGGGGCCCTGCCTGATGATCTCTAGTTGCAAGCGTTTGTACGGTGGATGGTGAAGTGAAAAAACCCGACTGCCTGGCGCGAACTGCTTGAAGGCCCCGGGCAATTGAGTTTATACAAGTGTGTAAGTATGTAGTCATACCTCCGTACTTTGCCGGGGATTTTACCAACTGGTTGGTGCGCGGAGCGGGGAGCGGTCCTCGACGTCGAGCAAAGGTTGGGCACGGCCTGAGAACACTAGAGCCTCGAGATGGCGGTCCGCTGGATTGGGTCATGGACGAGCCCCTTTCTGAGTTTTCTTGCTGCATCCCGTCTCATCTGCGCCCCACCATGATCGAGTCATGAGAGGCAATGAGGAAAATAGTCAACCGCCTCATTGCCCAATACGTGCCGTGATGCGTGCGGAAGCCGGAAGCGAATGCAGCTTTGTCCAGTATGTCACTTATCATCGCGGCCATGTCATTTGGCGAAAAACAAACATTGAGCCAGGCGATCGAAGAGGGCAGCGCGTTGGAGCCAACCAGCACACGTGACTTCGCGTTCATTTCCCAAGCATTGGCCAGAGCTTGCGAGATCTTTGCGCTTCATTGACGGTCCGAGACAGCGATTCGTACTACCAAGCCTGGACTCCTGCAGCGGAAGTTTACTGTGGTACATACGTCTGAGGTTTGTGACGTTGTTGCAACCTGCACAACTCGAGTCCCCTAATAAAGAAGAAAGGCTCAGTTTATGACAGACATCCTTCGGTATGAGATTCCTCAGCAAGTCGGATGGCAAACGTAAAAGTGGTTTGTTTCCGCACACAGCTGGCTTGTGGTTCTGAGTCCGGGCCTTCGGTGGAAACGGGCCGCGTGGACCGCGTGGCTCAGGTGGTGGGTCATGGTAAGGTGGGGCTAATGCGTGCTGGGGCTGCGGCCAATCCCGTTGGTGCGCCCAATGCCCACATCTTGACGAACCACTTGCTGAGCCGCGGCGTCGCGCGCACCGCGTAACCAACTCCAGTAACTGACTGGCCTGCACGTCCAAGACCAATCCGTCCGCCACGACCCGCAGCTCCGTCGCTGCGAACTCGCTCCAGGCCGACTGGCTGCCCAACGACGTAACTGGCCGCTTGACTGTTTTGCTGCTTTGCTTCCAGGGACTGCACCGCGCATATTGCACACGCTCGCGCAATGGCAGACCCGGATTCGGCCGCGGTTTCAAGTCGTCTCAATGCTGGACTCGTCGGGGACAGAGGTTCGGGGACGACTTCGCACTCGACATCGTACCCCGCCGCAGTATCGCACCCCAACAGCGTGAACCGCCCTGCCGCGCCGCCGACAGGAACTCTCTCCGACACAAGGTCTTCTGCCCCGGACGACGCTACTCGCTTCTACCCCAGCACTTCAGGCTGCAATGTAACGGGGCGTGACTTTGATTCCGGCGACTCGCAGCGAACCGGTTATCCCGCATCTACCTCGCTCGAGCATCACCATCCCGCTGGCGTCATTTACCCTGCCCAATTGCCCAACTCACACGCGCTCGCGCTCTCTCGAAGCAATTCCCAAGGCACCGGCAGCCTCACCAACGGCTCCGGCGTCGATCCCGTGTTTACCCCGCCCGCAAGCGGTGGCAGACTGAGTCCGGGCGGCGGCCACAACTCGAGTAGCCAGGAGTCACAATTGCTACAGCTGTCCCAGATTGCTGCCGCCCAAGAGAGGATACCGGAAGACACGGTTGACATGGCGAACGGCGCCTCAAGGAAGCGCATGGCAGACGGCGAGGTCAAGCACACTCGAGACAAGTCAAATGTGTCTCCGGGGCAGATGGCCGGCCACTCAAGGAATACCAGCACCGTCAGCGCGGCGTCGACATCCGCTAGTCGCATTGGAGAGGTATTGTCCTGGTCTACTCAGTCAAGATTGTCATCTCAGAACCCTCAGTATTAACCCGTCGACACAGCTGTCTGCCGAGCTCAGGGCTCGGTTGTCCTACGCTATGGTCAAGGTCAATCACGGATGGCAAGGCCATTCCATTGACCAAGTCGAGTCGCTGGCTTCGCAGGCGGCGTCTCCGGTCTCCAGCGCCTCCACAATACACCTGAGGAATGGATCCTCGGCTAGCCCTCAACTGTCGACAGTTTCCCATCGGGCCAGCAACAACACCACTCCGGCTACGGGCCCTCAACACCCCTCTTCTGGGCGACCCGAGGATCTGCAATGGAGAGAGCCCACCCCACGCGGAAGCTCAGCATCCCCTGTCAAGAGCAATCACGGCCTCGCTCCACCAGTGTCCATCCAGCCATCACAACAAGTAGGCAACCCCCGTCGGGAACACAACCCACGGCACGTCCCGTCGTTCCTCTCAACATCTCACCAGACCTCGCCCCGCGCAAACGACCTTCGCGCCAGCCCCTATCTTCCCCCCGGCCGGCATCGCAGCGCGATGTCCGAAGCCATGCTCGTCTCCCCACACACCAACGTGCGCGAGCAGGACGCAATCGAGTCACTTCTCTTTATGAGCAGCCCGGGCAACCCAGCCAACTTGAAGCACGCCTTCCCCCTCACCTCGGCCTCGCAGCCCTTGACCTCCTCCAGCCACGCACCTCCGCAACAACGAACGGCCTTGCCGACCTCCCAACCGCGTAAGACTCTTCCCTCAGGTCGCCCGCCACACCACGCCCGCTCCCAGTCCCATCCCCACTCCCAGCCAACCACATCCAAACGCGTCGGCTTCGAACTTAAGTCCCCCTCAGCCATGGACATGGACGACGGCCCTCTCTATACAGGCGGTGGCGCGGGCTCGCCCATGTCCGGTGTATCTCGGGGCACGCCCCTCCGCAAAAGACTCAACGGCGGGACTCACCACCACCACCACGGCGGTAGCGACACTTATCACTCTTATCAGCCGCATGGCCATGCCGCCCAGACGACGGGGCTGACGCCCCGGTTGAAACAGATGCCTGTCTCGGCCGGACTGACAGTGCAGCCCTCGAAGCCGAGGCCGGCGCTGGCGGATGACGAGATTGATCGCATGCTGGACCGGGCGGCGGCTGCGGCGGACGAGGAGTCGGATTCCGAAGGGGAGATTGAGTTGCCTCCTGCTCCTGGGCGGAGTAGTCGGCCCGGGGCGGGCCCGGCGAGGAAGGATGGAGTTGGGGTTGTGGATGTGGGGGTTTAGATGATTGAGAGGGGCGTTTTGGGTATGGATCCGTTCTCGTCAGAGGGTATGTTAGTTCTTGAGGGGGAAGGCGGGGGAGTTGATGGCGTGGGGGTTTGATGCGAGTTTGAACGGTTGAGGAGCTGAACCGGCTTTTTGTCACGGCCGGCTTGCGGGGGGCGCATTGTGGTTATGGTTGGGTTGAGCGTTCCTGTTTAAGAGGATGGGATGGCTATGGTCAAGGCTCACACGTTTGAGGAACTGAGTTGGCACTGTTGGCCTGTGGGCGATAAGGCTATATGGTTTGATTGCTGGTTCCCGCTTGGGACGGCTACGGCGGAGCTGCGTCCCTCCTGATTGTTTGCGAGTTATATGGGCCCGCCTATCTCGGAATGGTCGTCATTTTGTGGTTTCTTGTCCGGCTCACTTACAAGGGCTGCATTGGACCTTTGCGTTTGGCTTGCCGGTTGCATCAGGGTTGCGCCTCTGCCGGCGGCTATGGATGCTGGCTGGGCACATTGCCTTTGACGACGAAATATACACGCTCTGTTTTCTAATGGTTTGAGGGCCACTCAACTCTGGCTCCGTCGTTTCATTGAGTCAGTGCCGCAGCAGACTAACAGATCAATATGCACTTGGCCTATTTCTAGAGGGATCCTCTTCCAACATTAAAGAAGACCACCATAGCGTTCACGGAACCTAAGGCAAGCAGAGAACGGGAGGCATTCTACATGTTGAATGTGAATATACCGGTCACCCTTCGAAGAGGAGTGGTTTGCTCACTACCTAATTTCCTGTGTCTCGGGCCAACTGTAGTACAAAAGAGTGACCGAGGTGACCGAAAAACAGGCGAAACAGAGAACAACACATTCAACCAAGCCCTGTCATCACACCACTGTCCACTTCAAGTATGGTAAAGACCCCACTCGACGTCCACCCACACGCCAAAAGGCGACTCACATTTCATCCTGCCTTTGGCACCCACCACGCCGGCGCCTCCAAAGCGGTTGATGGAGTCCCGCACGAGATCGCGAATGTCACCGTTGCCGATCTCGGTCGGCCCGGCGCTGTCGCACGTCACGCCGAACGCGCATGTGCCGTACGTCGCGAGGGTGCGGTGGTTGGGACCCCACACGGTCCAGGTGCCGTCGCCGGCGATGTTGTCGTGCAACCGCCAGCAATCGGCGACGCGCGGCGAGCCGCCCGACGACTGGTTCTCAAAGGTCGAGTCGCCGCAGTCATTGATGGCACGGGCCGCGAACAGGTTGCTGGTCTTGGGTGCGGGCGTAAAGAGGATGCCCGACTCGGGGACCGGCGACGAGGGCTCGGTGGGAGCGCCGCTGGCGAGGGTCATGATGCTGGCTAGGGTGGCCATAGCCAGAGCAAGGCTGGAAACGGTGTATTTCATTCTGAGTTATTGGAGGGGGTTTATGAACTCCGAGATTTGGATTGGTGGTTGCTGTGGGGGTTGATGGTTGGATCGGAGATTTGGGACTGAAGGTGCGAGTCGGTGCTGGCTCTCGATCTGCCGAGACCCTGGCCATGTTCCGGTGGTGAGAAAATGTCATATTTATACTCGATCCCAACGGCCGTCAAATCTGCCTGCCTGCTGGGCACCTAACTCAGGCGACGCGGGGTCGCTGTGCAAGAGGGAAGCTCACCCTCCCTCGACATCTGGCGATGTAGCTTCCCCTCATTGTGCTGCTTACATCCTGCGGTTCGTTGTTGTTGACGTGGATGACTTGGCGACCTTTCTGCTGACTTGGGTAGTACATAGCAGATTCATTCCGCGCGATGTAGTATCGGCATCATATCATACGGCATGTCAGATGCTTTGAAAGAACTGTGCAGAAGGGACCTCATAGACACTTGTGCCATCTGGGATCATACATTGGCCAAAGGGTCCTGTCGATATTGTTGGAACCTGCAGGACGACGACCGCTGAGATATGCGCTGGGAAAGCTATTCCCAGTCAAGCAGTGGATTGAATTTTTTTAAGGTGGTAAAAGTGATTTATTGACCATGCTGTTGATGGGCATGGGAGGGGACTAAGTACATATGTAAGGAAGAGGGGTTGCAGTGCTGGCACCAATCAACCACCGAGGTCCGTTGAATGCAGCCATCAAGGCGGCTTCGTTCCGACAGATATATGCAGTCAGCACGGTGATTCTGGGCAAGCAACCATGGCCGGGCCACTTTTTATGTACTTGCCTTTCCGACACGAGAGGGATGTTGGGGGACGCCCTGGGAGCCAAGTTGTGTCTTTCAGGTTGTGCCTGGATACTTATCCATCGAGCCTGATTTGTTCGTCATTATAAATGATACCTCATGTTATGTAGATAAGCTACATCACCTTACCATCCAGTCGAGTTTGGCCTGCAAGAGTCAATATGAGCCTGTTACTTCCGGTGGTGTCACTTGGGCCTCAGCTGTTGATGCCAGGCAACTCAGCTCACTGTGGCAACACCAGACCCCGCATGTTATGCAACATGACTGCAGGGTCTCCGCCTCAGAACCATATCCCAACCATTCGTCGCCTATTCCAAGAGCACATGGCTGACATGTCTAACTGTCTCTGCTCAGCTGTGTAACGAGTCAGACTTGTGCCTTCGGCTAGAAAGCCTAATACAGCCACAGGCGCACACCATCCAAGCTGCTAGCCGAAAACTTCTACCTTGGTCGATGTCACAGTTGATTACCGTAGATGCCACTGTGCGACGCGCCAGCATCGATATAGCACTCAACCAGGCCAGAAACTCCAGATGAATGGAACAAAAGGAGAGTGTGGTGTCATGTCCGCAGTCACCTAGATGCAGTCAGCAGGACTTCTGCAGGAGTCCTAGTATCGACGATCGCTTTCTTCGAGTGCTGCTGGTCAGAATTGAGTTGCAACTCTAGCGGGCACTCCAATGTTTGATGTGAGGTAACCTGCCCTCCTATTGAAGACGGGAATGGTCTGCGCACTACCTTGACCTCTAGGTAATGCCCAGTGCCTCGGGCTGGCTGCTCGGGTCGACGGAACGAGTGACTAGGTGCCTTAGAGTAAGGGGTTACCTTGAGCCGAGGAACAGAGTACACAAAGCACTTGGGCTACCCAGCCAACTCTGTTGTACCCCCATGGCCGTCGTCACCACTGTCAATTCTTCAAGTATGATAAAGGCCCCATTTGGCCTTTGCCCACATCCCGTCAATGCTCTCTGCTGACAGCGCATCACACCATAGCGCCCACCACGCCAGTCTTTCCGAAACGCTTGATCGAATCCGGCACTAGATCGCGAACGTCTTCGTTCCCGACCTTGACACCCATGGATATTCCATCTACCACCTCCGCGCCAAAAGCGCGCGTGCCGTACGTGGCGAGCGTGCGGTGATCTCCCCACACGGTCCAAGTGCCGCCGCCGTGGATCTTGTAGATTATGCGCCAGCAGTCGTTGACCTTCGGCGAGGCGGCAGACGTCTGGTCCATAAAAATGGGCTTGGCGCAATCGTTGCGATTTTCCCTGGCCGCTAGGAGCTTGGTCTTGGGAGCAGGCGTAAAGAGCACGCCCGGCTCGGGGATCGTCTTAGACGAAGGATCGATTGGAGCGCCGCTGGTGAGGGTCATGGTGCCGGATAGGGTCACCATGGCGATGCTAAGGATCGTGAACCTCATTGTGCGTCGTTTGAAAACCGTAGACTTAAGGCTAGGCTTGGGAGTTGGGTGGTTTTGAAAGAGATGGCTCGCTGGGTTGTAGTGAGATCATATTTTGGAGATGTGAGTCGGTGTTGTTTGAGATCTGCCGAGTCCGGGCGAGTCGATGGGTAGAAAATGCTCTCTTTTTACGAAACCCCAACCGCCTTCCAACCTGCCTACCGCTGCAGGTAAGGTTCACGCGGGACTTCCGCTCGCAGTGCATATGGGTACGCCGAATGATTACTGTACCTTAGTTTCTTTGAGCGGGCGTTTGGGAGTCGGGAAGCTTGGGCTTCATCGACAGCTGGCGATATACACGCAGCCTCGCCCTCAATGTACACCTTACAACCAGCAGGTTGCTGACCGTGGAGCAGATGACTTCAGGTCAAGGGCCCTTTACTGAGTAAGTCAGTTCAGGTCAGACTCATTCAACGCGGTGTAGTGTCTGAATGAATCTCTAGGTAACTACGACATGTCCTGGGACTGAGAAGGTACCTACGTACCTGAAGGACTCCTCGAGGCCGGAGCCGCCCAGGCCCCAACTCCCGGGCCCCTGTCGTCCCCATGACTAGCGACATCGCCGCAAGCATTCCCAGGCCCAGCACCCACCATCCGCGTCGAGACGACGCTCGACCGTTTCGGTTCCTTCAAGTTTTGCGGATACTCTTGCTGCGGCGCGAACTTCGCATTGTAGAAGAGATAGAAGCAAGATAAAAACAAAAGATAGGAGATAGGAGAAGAATGAAGACAGAGAAGAAAGAAAAAGGTCAACCTGTATTTAGGATCCAACGCTTTGTCGTATTGTTTCCCTAAATTGCATCAGTAAATTGGAACAAACCAGGGTCTATACGGATCCGTAGAGGTTGAGTAACTAACTTGAGTTGTATCCGTACTCTCTACTGTAACGTTATCTGTATTTTTAGTGCTGATTAAGGTATGCGCCTGTCCTGACAGTCAGCCTGACCGGTGACACCGAGATTTTGTCCCTACTTAAATGGCAGGCCGAACTGTGTGATTGGCCGCCACTTTTAACATCTGAAACAACCAAGACAATGGACTGTTGCTGCGACCCGGGCCATCAACGCCCCGTGAACCCCCGCTTGGCCCAGTGATGCCTGTTGATCTCAGCTCTTCACTAGAGCGACAAAATCATAATCACACAAGGCTCCAAAATTACAGAACATGTTCAGTTTCAACACGCATCAACCCGGCTCGCAACTTACGTGCCATCCTTCCCGCAGCTGCTCCTTTTAACTCAGACCACTGACCAGCACTCTGATCTGTCGAAAATGCGCTAGGTGGGCAGGCAGCTACTCGGGCCTTTTGAGACGGGCAATCATGGAGAAAAAGAGGCTCTTCGACCGGTTACGCGATTTCTTCCGTCGAAAGAATGGGAAGACCAAAAAGGAAGGGCCCAATGCTCCACGGAACGAGTCTGTCATCGTCCACCACCCCAAGGCGCCCCAGCCGCGGAATGATCACCTCAGGCAGGTCATCGAGTCAAGCACGCTGCAGGATATGAGAGCCACTGCAGATGCTCAGGCCCTGTCTGCATTCTTCCAGCGGCTCCCCGTCGAGATCCGGCTCAAAATCTACCACCATGTCTTGTGCAACTACCTCAAGCCGCGCCGAGTCGGGCCCTCCACCGCGGGCTCCAACCTCCGTCTGCATATCTATACGCCCGCCCCGGCCAGCAAGAGGCTGACCCACACGCGGTGCAAGATACACCCGGGCGAGCCCGGGCAGAAGGATGTGTTGGTGACACAGGACATCCACAGCGAGGACTGGCCGAACGCGCCGCCCTGGTACCGCGACGCCTGGGTGCTCCGCCTCAACTGGGGCAAGCACTGGAAGTGCCAGCACGCCATTCAGAAGCAGTGGAATCTGACGGCGCAAAACGGGGATGCCGGCTCCAGTTCAGCAACGGGAGCTCCCACAGCGCCGTTTCTACCGCTGTTTTTGGCGTGCAAGAGGATGTCAGTTTCCCTTTTCTTCAGTCGCCCATTCTCTTAACTTATAACTCTCATCCGGAAGCCGACGGCTTACAACATATCAGGTACCTCGAATCGGCACAATCCCTCTTCGAAACCGTCACGCTCGTCTTCACCTCGTCCACCGACGCACACCAGTTCTTCATGGTGCGGCCGCACCCTTTCCTCGCTCACCTGCGTAACCTCGAGCTGAGCATCGCCTACACCAACGACCACCTCTTCCTCTCCAGGGTCCTGCACGACAACCCGCCTCGGCCGTCTACCAGCGGCAGCCACGTCAACAACGACAACACTGGCACCATCACCACCACTACCGCCACCATCACCACCACCAATGATGACGCCTCCCCCCGTGGGGCGAGCGTTGATACCAACACCGCGGCCACCGTACACGAGCCCATGGCCCGCGCAGACGTCGTCCGCGACCTGAGGCCTAGGCCGAATAGCATCTGCTTCAACCTGGTATGCAGGCTGGACCGGTTTGGCGCCGAGCTCTGGCCTTATCTAATAAAAGGGATCCGTGCCGCGGCACCAAAGTTGAGGGAGCTGGATGTGGAGATTGGGGGGCGGATTGCGCGGGATGGTATTCTTGGGTCGTTTGGGTTTGTCGAGAAGGAGGAGGATGGACCCGTTAATGGTGTTGTTGCAGGTGGTGGCGGTGATGAGTGGGAAGAGGGAGGCGCGACGTTGGGGATGAGGGAAGAGAGAAGGCATGCGGCCGCGTTTGACAACGGGAAAGCGGAGGGGGAGGAGGTTTCGCGGTGGACGCTGCCTGGGAGGTTGGTGGTTGTCTTCTCTGGGGCGAGCGTCAAGGAGGGCTATGTGCAGGCGGGGAAGGAGATGGTGAGGATGCAGACGGAGCCGGAGTGAGATCGGAGGGTCAAGTGTTTCAACTGGTCAGAGGTGGTTTTACATGGTTCCTCAAGCGCTGCGGGACAGTGCCTGTGTAAGTGTAAGGCTGGATCGGGGTACCGGGGTTATGGCTTCGCCTGCTCCTAGGATTCTTCATTGCCGCTCGCCCCCTGCCTCAAGCAAACAGTGATTCGGTGTGCGGGCGCCTCCAGGGTTGATGGGCCGTTTCGATGCGAACCTCCAGGTGGTTGAAAGGAGGAAGGGAACGTGGAGCACGAATAAATCCCAGGCACCTTGGGTAGAGGAGTGCTCGGATGACAGAGACACACGCACATCAATGTCAGTTATGTAATGTTCGTATACTCAGGCTGCCGATGCAAGATTCACCGCATTCATCATTCCGTCACTCGTCTATGCAGATCTCGGAAGCGCAACCGTGATTACAGTCCACTCTCTTCAGCAAACATTAGGGCAACATCACCTTCAACGCAGCTTCGCCTCTCTTTGCACCCTGATAATGAGGGGACACCTGCACCATCAGCACTAGCGGAATCTACAGATCTAGCTGCAACTGTCTGACTTAGACGATTTGCCGCTGGCTGGAGTTGGTGAGACTTTCTATCAGGAGATTTGCGATCACAGAGAAAGGTGATGAAGGCCCTGTCTTCAAGTCAAACCATCGACGTTATCTACCTGTGCAGTAACATGCCCATGGTTTCAGGCGTCTCCGGTGTGGGGCGATCGCGCAGACTCCACGTGGCGACAGCTGCCTGTCGGTCCCGGCAGGCGGGTGGCGCCAAGAAGATGCCACTCTGCAATTGGATCCGAAAAGCATCCCACGCCGGGCCCCATGCTCGTCAGTCTCAGGGATCGGATATTTTCCATCAACCTCCCCCTTCCATCAGCGTCGCCTCGCCTTTCCAATTCGGTCGCTGCCTTCGATGACGGCACCGTAGATGAGCATTCCTTGAACCTTCCCACGACCGACCAGCCATGGCGCCGCTCGTCGACAACCCGCAGATCAAGAGCGCCGACCTGTTGCGGCCCCTGCCTCTCTACCAGCACGCATACATCTGGCCCTTTGCCGTGATATGGCCCGTCTTCCTGCGCTTCTACCTCACCCCTGAGCTCTACGACAAGCACATTCAAGCCCCAGAATGGACGTTCGTTTGGGTCGGCACTATCGTCACCCTGCAGACTCTCGTGTGGCTCTGCACCCACTGGAGCGTCAACCTCAACGCTGCCTTTACCGCCAGAAAGGCCCGCTCCGTTGAGGATGCCCAACTGATCAAGGTCATTCCCATTGCGAACGCCGGGACTGCCGACATTTGCAAGCTCTCGCGCGATAAGGTGCGTCCTCCTCTCCATCAGCAACGCGCACAGGGACTGACTGCCGCTCAGGTCGGCGACAAGACCAAAATATCGTTCCTATTCCAAAAGCGCCGCTTTCTGTACAATTTCGACACCAAGTCGTTCAGGACCCTAACATACGACATCGACGCCGAACCGAGGCCGAAGCTGGAAAAATTCCAAACATCCAGGGGCATCACGAGCGCCGAGGAGCAGCAGCGCCTCGAGCAGCACTATGGCACCAACACGTTCGACATCCCCGTTCCTACGTTCACCGAGCTCTTCAAGGAACATGCCGTGGCCCCCTTCTTCGTGTTCCAGGTCTTCTGCGTCGGCCTGTGGCTGCTGGACGAGTACTGGTACTACTCACTGTTCACCCTCTTCATGCTCGTCATGTTCGAGAGCACCGTCGTCTGGCAGCGCCAGCGGACCTTGACCGAGTTCCGCAGCATGAGCATCAAGCCGTATGACATCTACGTTTTCCGCCAGGGCAAGTGGACCGAGATCCAGAGTGACAAACTGCTACCGGGCGACCTGGTGTCCGTGACGCGAACCAAGGAGGACGGCGGCGTCGCCTGCGATATGCTCCTGGTGGAGGGGACCGCCATCGTCAACGAGGCTATGCTTTCTGGCGAGAGTACCCCGCTTTTGAAGGATTCCATCCAGCTCCGGCCCGGCGACGCCCAGATCGACTCGGACGGCCTAGACAAGAACTCATTTCTGTGGGGCGGCACCAAGGTGCTCCAGATTACACATGGCAGTGCCGACGTGGAGCGACTCAAGTTGGCTTCCGGTGTTCCCGCCCCTCCGGACAACGGCGCCATGGCAATCGTCACCAAGACCGGGTTTGAAACTTCGCAGGGAAGCCTGGTGCGGACCATGATCTACTCGACGGAGCGCGTCTCGGCCAACAACACCGAGGCCCTGCTTTTCATCCTGTTCTTGCTTGTCTTCGCCATCGCCGCCTCGTGGTACGTCTGGGACGAGGGCGTGCGCAGGGACAGGAAGCGCTCCAAGCTACTGCTCGACTGCATCCTCATCGTCACGAGCGTTGTGCCGCCCGAGCTGCCTATGGAGCTGAGCTTGGCTGTCAACACCAGTTTGTCCGCCCTCTCCAAATTTGCCATCTTCTGCACCGAGCCATTCAGAATTCCCTTTGCCGGCCGCATCGATGTGGCCTGCTTCGACAAGACCGGTACCCTGACCGGGGAGGACTTGGTGGTTGAAGGCATTGCCGGCCTTGCTCTCGGCCACTCCGGAACCGATACGCCCCGCGAGCCTGATGGCGCTCACAGCCATATAACCCCGGTTCACGATGCTGGCATGGAAACGACCCTGGTCCTTGCGACCGCTCACGCGCTGGTGAAGCTCGACGAGGGTGATATTGTCGGCGACCCTATGGAGAAAGCTACGCTTACTGCCTTGGGCTGGAGCTTGGGCAAGAACGACGTCTTAACGAGCAAGCCTGGCAGTGCGTCAACTGCAGGCATCACTGGCTCCGTCCAGGTCAAGCGCCGCTTTCAGTTCTCATCGGCCCTCAAGCGCCAGAGCTCTGTTGCCACCATCATTGCGACCGACGCCAAGACCGGCCGCAAGCTGAGGGGCACCTTCGTCGCCGTTAAGGGTGCGCCCGAGACAATCATGAAAATGCTGGTTACCATCCCGAAAGACTACGAAGAAACCTTCAAGTACTTCACGCGCCGTGGTGCCCGTGTCTTGGCCTTGGCGTACAAGCAGCTTACTACTGAGGGCGAGCTCGGCGCGAGCAAGATCAACGACCTCAAGCGCGAGAACGTCGAGTCCGACCTTGCCTTCGCCGGCTTCCTGGTCCTCCATTGTCCCCTCAAGGAAGACGCAAAGGAGGCTGTCCGGATGCTCAACGAGAGCAGCCATCGTGTGGTCATGATCACTGGCGATAACCCGCTCACCGCTGTCCATGTCGCCAAGGAGGTCGAGATTGTCGATCGCGACGTTCTCATCCTTGACGCCCCCGAGCACAGCGTCCACGGCGAGGAGTCCCTCATCTGGCGCAGTGTAGACGACAAGATCCAGATTGACGTAGATCCTACTAAGCCCATTGACCCTGAGATCATCAAGACCAAGGATCTGTGCGTCACTGGGTATGCGCTAAACAAATTCAAGGACCAGGTCGGCTGGAAGACACTTCTGCGGTACACCTGGGTGTATGCTCGGGTCTCGCCCAAGCAAAAGGAGGACATCCTGCTGGGTCTGAAGGATATGGGCTACTACACGCTCATGGCAGGTGATGGCACCAATGACGTGGGCGCTCTCAAGCAGGCCCACATCGGCGTGGCCCTGCTCAACGGCACCCAGGAAGACCTCACCCGGATTGCAGAGCATGCTCGGAATACCAGGATGAAGGACCTCTACCAGAAGCAGGTCGATTTGATGGCGCGCTGGGGTCAGCCGGCTCCTCCTGTTCCTCCCATGATCGCCCACCTTTACCCTCCCGGACCGTCCAACCCGCACTACGAGAAGGCCATGGAACGGGAAGCGCAGAAGAAGGGCGTCCCCGTGGAACAGCTTCTCAAGGCGAACGGCACCAAGATCGAGACCGTCACCTCGCCCGCCGCCCAGCAGCTCATCGACTCGGACCCCCGCAAGGTCAAGCAAGCCGAGGCGGTCAAGAAAGCTGCCGGCTTCGCTGACAAGCTGACGCAGTCGATGATGGACGCCGAGATGGACGACGGCGAGCCGCCGTCGCTCAAGCTGGGCGACGCCTCGGTGGCGGCCCCGTTCACGTCAAAGCTGCGCAACGTCATCGCCATCCCCAACATCATCCGTCAGGGGCGGTGCACGCTGGTCGCCACGATCCAGATGTACAAGATCCTGGCGCTCAACTGCCTCATAAGCGCGTACAGCTTGAGTGTGTTGTACCTCGAGGGCATCAAGTTTGGCGACGGACAGATCACCATCAGCGGCATGCTCATGAGTGTTTGCTTCCTGTCCATTTCGCGCGCGCGGTCGGTCGAGGGCTTGTCCAAGGAGCGGCCCCAGCCGAATATCTTTAATTTCTACATCATTGGGTCCATTCTGGGGCAGTTTGCCGTCCATGTCGCCACGCTGATTTACATTGCACGCTACTGCGATGTGCTGGAACCGTAAGCCACCCAACTCTCCCCCCTGACGCGCCCCTTCGCACCCTTCTCATCAGGGCCATTGTTACTCACTTTTCGTGTTTCTTTTATAGACGCTCCGAAATGCCGGACCTCGAAGCAGAGTTTAAGCCCTCGCTCCTCAACTCGGCCGTGTACCTACTCCAACTCATCCAGCAGATCTCAACCTTCGCCGTCAACTACCAGGGCCGGCCCTTCCGCGAGTCGCTGTCCGAAAATAAGGGCATGTTCTACGGCATTCTGGGCGTCACGGGCATCGCGTTTGCATGCTCGACCGAGCTCATCCCGGAGCTCAACGAGGCCATGAAGCTTGTACCCTTCAAGGACGAGTTCAAAACGACTATTACGGCTGTCATGGTGATGGATTATGTGGCGTGCTATGTCATCGAGGTGGTGCTCAAGTGGCTGTTTAGCGATTTGAGGGCGAGGGACATCGCCGAGCGCAGGCCGGAGCAGCTTGAGAGGGAACGGGTGAGGAAGGCGGAGGAGCTGAAAAAGAAGGAGGAGGACGAGGAACGGAAGAGGTTGGAGAAGGTGGCGGAGTTTGAGAGAAAACTGGAGGAGAGGAAGGCGGCCTTGAGAGCGAGGTTTGAGGGCCGGGCGGCGCATGGGGCGTGATTGGGGTGGGGATAGATAAATAGATGGATGGATAGGGAGTGAGAGGTTGAAGATCGGGGTTATTTGTTTGTGTAAAGTGTATAGTTACAGACGATAGACGTGATGGAAGCGGCGTGGCCCCGGTGGATTTGTACTCCGAGCCGATGCAATGGTACATCTCCGTCGACAATGCCCAGGTACTAACACACTGTTTGAGTCCAGGTGATTCGTCAATACATTGGATATTTGCTACTGTACAGCCACCAAACCCCTGCCTGCTTGTTTGGGTAGTTGTGGATACGGAAGGGCACGCAAGGTCAGCCGTGATGGCTGGCTTGGTCATCCGCGCGGTCAATTATTACGTCTAGCTTTTGCCTAGAGCTCGTTACTTAGTTACCAGGGTTCTCCTTGACAAACGCCACACCCTTGGCGATGTTCTTCTTGAGGTCAGCGAAGCAGGCCTCGAGCAGCTTCTCCTCCACGGCGTCGACTTTGCCGACGGGCAGAATCTTCTCAACACCGCTGGGGCCCAGCTCAACCTTGGAGCTGAAGAAGTCGATGCCCTGGTCCTTGTACAGCGGGCTGTCGACGAAGGTGGGCTCGATGACGCCCTTCTCGCCTTGCGAGGCGCGGAGCAGCGACTCGGCCATGCGCGCGCCGGCCATGGCCATGGACAGGGTGGCCGAGCCGGCGCCGTCCTTGGCCTTGACCACCTCGTCGCCGCCAAACTGCACGCGGTGGATCAGCTCGGCGTTGGACGAGAGGTCAGGGTGGTTGCTCTGGCTGAAGAGCGGCACGATGGTCACGCCGCTGTGGCCGCCGACGACGGTGACGTTCTCGTTGGCCGGGTCGGTCTTCTTGATTTCGCTGACGAAGCGCGAGGCGCGGACGACGTCGAGCGTGGTGACGCCGAACAGGCGCTTCGGGTTGTAGACGCCCTTGGACTTGAACACCTCGGCGCAGATGGGCACGGTCGAGTTGACGGGGTTGCTGATGACCAGGATGTTGGCCTCGGGGCACGAGTCGGCGCAGGCCTTGGCCAGGTCGCGCACAATCGAGGCGTTGGTGTTGAACAGGTCGTCGCGCGACATGCCGGGCTTGCGGGGCACGCCGGCGGGGATCAGCACGATCTCGGCGCCCTTGAGCGCGTTGGCGAGACCGCTCGGGGTAGGCTCGTAGCCCTTGACCGTCGACTTGGTGTTGACGTGCGAGACATCGGCGGCAACGCCTGGCAGGTGTCAGCAAGCATTGAAGAAGCATGGGGTACGGGAGGAGGAGCTGAGGGCGTACCGGGAGCGCCGCGGATATCGTAGAGGGCGAGTTCGGTGACTCTGGGGTTGAGCTTGAGGAGGAGAGACAGCGGCTGGCCAATGCCTCCGGCTGCACCGAGAACGGCGACTTTGGAGAGCTGTGGGCGCACGAGCAGTAAGCAGTGAGCATGCGGACGTCATTGTGATTGGCATCGATGCATGAGCTTGGAACCAGCGATTGATGCGGAATCGGGGCGGTGTTTGCTTACGTTTCTCGCCGACGCCGAGAAGGCGCGGGTCTGGATCCGAGAGGCCATGAACATCTTGAATGTAGTGACCGTGATGAAGCGTTGACTTCGGCAGGTGACTGGACTTGGGACAAGGAAGGTGGAAACACAACAACGGAAGAGAAAAGAATTGGCGCGGTCCGATCTATTGAGAGCGGAAAGCGGCAGTTGGCCCGTCATTGCGGTAAAAAAAAAGTTGGCCTGTCCCGTCTTGGGCCTAGCGCATTGGAGTTGGCCCGAGCGCCCGCGGGATCCCCAGCAAACATTCGGCAGGATCGAGCCTCGAAGTCCCGCTTGTTCATTCATGGGTTCACTTCTGCTTGCAAGTGCTTCTCGGAGTGATCTTGTTCAGGTCATGCATCCTCTTTCAAGTTTGAACCTCGGTTCTTTCTACATGCGAAAGCACCCCATTAGCAATTGTCTTGTATGCAGGTCTACGGGTGTTTTTATGCTTTGCTCACCTGTTATCGTTTGCAGTTCAACCCGCTTTTTGTTCTGTAATTTGTGTTTCTACGTTACCGCTGTTCACACTCTTTGGACTTTCCCACCTCTCCATGTGTGAAGCAAGCCCAAATTCTCGCAATGCGCTTTGCTTTACCCACGCGATAGCTGCTATTCAATGCTTCCTCCTTCTTTATCTTATTTTATTTTTATCCTTTTTTTTTATCTTCTGGGTTGGCCTCATCTCTGCCATGTCAGGCCACTTGAATGTGTCTTCCCTTTGATAACAAGTGCAGAGGTCCGGCGAGACATCTGCGACTTCGTCTTTTTAGCCTGGATGAAGCAGTTGGTTCAGCCAGTGACTTGTGTGGATGATTGCCCAGTGGCAGTTGGTTAACATTCTGCAAGACAACTAGAGCCAGCCATCCGTCAGCTCAATCCTCATGCAGTGTGCCTGCAACACAGCCCCAGGCCCCCAACACTCGTAACGTACGGAGTGCCTTACCTGGGATGTGAAAACCCCAAGAGGCGCGGGACCCTCCTGGTCCGTCGCAGTCCCTCGAGACTTCAACTCAAAACGTCACCAAAATTCAAGAGTTTCTCACGCGAGGCCTGCATTACCATGCGCTTAATTAACACGACCATATTCGAGCTCAAGGAGTTTGGAGCAAACCCGCCAAATTATGTATGTCACACACGTGGGGTGCAGAAGAAGTCACTTTTCAAGACATGGCAGACCTGGGCTCTGCCCGTATGAAAGGCTTCGCCAAAATCGAACATTGCTGCCGACAGGCCCTCCGCGACGGCTTGCACTGGGCCTTGGTCGACACCTGCTGCGTTGACAAGACGTCAAGCGCAGAGCTCTCGGAAACCATCAACTCCATGTTCAAGTGGTACAGCCGCGCTCTGAAGCGCTATGCCTTCCTCGAGGATGTGACGGCGGTTCCCGGGGACGATTTATTTGCCGACCCAGATGCCACCCACGAGGGCGGCTGCAGACATTACCAAACCGCCCCCGATAATGTTACCCGATCGCGATTCTTTCCATCTCGCTGGTGGACACGCGGCTGGACGTTGCAAGAGCTGATCGCTCCCCATGACGTCGAGTTCTATAACCGTGACTGACATTCTTGGCCAGGAAGCGTGACTGCAAGCATTTCATCAGCCGCGTCTGTAGCACGTAGCGTTCCCGAGTCTATGTTGAATCAGTTGAACTTGCTCGGATCCATTTGCGCGGCCGACAAGATATCTTGGGCGTCAGCAGGCAAGACCACCCGTGAGGAAGATATGGCCTATTGCCTACTCGGCATATTGGATGTGAACATGCGGTTGCTCTACGGCGGAGGGGGGGAAAGCATTCCTACGCCTGCAAGAGCATGTTATCACTACCACCGAGAGCTACAGTCTGTTTCTGTGGGGGCTGGGGCTCGAGCGCTGGGCGTCCCTGGTCGACTTTTCCTGGTATGTCGCTGCGTCCGCTTCCTCCGGTCCATTTGAGACTGCCTTGTCCAGCTGCCCTCGCGATTTTGCCCGTGGTCAGGCATGGTCAGACTGGCGACGTATCGCCGGGGCTGCTTTGACATCGGGGGGCAGCCTGAGATCACCAGCCGCGGATTACGAGTGCCGATGCTTCTCAAGGCAGTCATGAGCCGGGACCACATCATCGCTCTATCGTTTGCATAACGGCTACTTCAATTTGGTCTTGTGGCCCAACTTTCCAGGTTTCTTGGCGAAGCTTCAACTTGGCCCTGACCGCGACTTCCTTCCCAGCACGGTTTTCCTCGGTTCCTTTCCATGCCTGGGCGAACACGCTTCGGGGAGCGAGATGCTGCCCTGTATCCTGCTCCTTAACTTAGGGAGGTCTCGGCACGGGCCGCTCTGAAGGAGAGACTACTGATGAGGGCTGGGTAATGCAGCCGTCCCGCACGTACGTCAGGTCTATGTCTTTCATCTGCAGGCTTCCTGCCAACGAGTTCCCTGTGCGCGGATGGGGGAACAAGAGCTGTTTCATCAAGACGCATCAGACAAACTCAAACATGCGAGGACTGGGCTCCGACTCCGCTCGGAGCGCTTGGCATACCTGCTACAACAGTTTGACGAACTCTGGTTTGGCGGACTCCAAATCCCGGCATCCCTGCATCGCCTTCAGTGTCCACCCTCCATACGGGCACGACGACCCCGACAAGCCCCCCCGCTCAGAGTGGATCGAGAACCGCCGAGGCGTTCGGCTCGGGGCCGCCAAGTCGTTTCCCGGCGTTGTGATATCGTTGGCGACGCGAGGGGCTTGGTTTTGGCTCGACGTCCATATGAACAACGAAGGGCGGCCTAGCGACCACAAGGAGGTGGTCGAACAGTTCAGAACCTTTGACCTCAGCGACATGTGGGAGGACAATCCGCGGGAGCGAACGGCGTCTCCCGTTTGGAGACATATCCCTTTCGTCACTCTGCGCATTAAAAACGAGCGATGACGGTGGTGAACACATGTTGCACAGGGTGCATTCGGCTCTTGAAGACAGACGCCCAGCGCAGATGGGCAGTGGTGGCTAACTAGCCTTTATGGTCCGAGTTTCGTTCTGGGGAGGAACGAGCATGGCACGCTTTCTGGTTGATTCTTGACGCCATGTGACGCGGAGTGATACTCCAAGCGCTGTTGGATCACTCTGGCGTCACCTGGCGGCGGAATCATCCGCTGCTTCCAGAACAAGCCCGGCACGTTGACAGCCACTGTAGTCAGCCACAAGCTAGGCTTTTATGTCGCCATGTCGGCCATCACACAGCTCGGTCCGGTCTCGCTTTCGCATAGCGCGCGTGCCCCAGGAAGAGCACATCAACACCTGAGACAGAGAGGAAAATGTGTGGTTCTAGGTGGTTGAGATTTCGGCGACGCCGCCGGCCTGAGAAGTCCCACTGCGGGCAAGGCGACTGTCCTGCTTCCGGTTATCACCTTCCAGCCCCCTTTTCCCGTTTCTCCATTCAAATCCCGCTTCGATGAATACTGACAATGTATGTTGTTCTTCGGTCGGGAAAACAGTCGAGTTCAGAGTTCTCAAAATCGTGGTATGCAGCGGCCACTGGCCAGTACGTCCGTCTGCGTCCAGAGCATCCCTTCAGGTTTGCCACAGGACAGGTTAGGGCATCGACTGAAATTGAGACCCTTCAGTTACCATAAGGCTGCCAGGAGTCGTACTACCTAAATATTCTCAAACCCTCGTGTTCAGATATTCTTGGCCCTCTATACACACACGGCATGTACAGTGGTTGGCTGATACCATCGGTTCGTTCATGCTTGTGGGTCATGAAGCTCTGCCGGACTTTCGTCAGTCGATGACGAAACCCAACCTTCGTCATCGTCACCTCACATCGAGATCAACCAGTTAGAAGCAGGCTCGACACATCACCTCCAGTTAACGGACAAGTCCACCCGAACACGGCAAAATGGACTCGGAGTATTTCGTATCCCAAGAAGAGCACGAACACAAGTTGCAGCACGAGAGGGAGAAAAAGCTGCATCATGCCGCTGGGAGTCATTCCACCTCATCATCCCCATCATCAGAACCACAGCAGGAACATCATCAAAATGTCGACCGAGGCACCCAAGCCCATCCGCGAGACAACCCACCCGCCGCTCCTCCTCAACCCCAACAAGCGCATCCGGCTTCTCAAAACCGCAACCCACCATTCCCACCCTGAACCAGCCCTCACCATCAGCCAAACCAAGCATCACCCAACAGTGCCCCCTATTCCCGGAAGTTCTGAGCCTTCCGAGCAGGAGGGAGCAGTCTACTTCATCGGCAACGCCACAACCGTCATCTCATACGGCTCCCTCCGCTTCCTGACAGATCCAAACTTCCTCCACGCAGGCGACCACGTCCACCTTGGCCCCGGCGTCACCTCGCAGCGCCTAAAGGACCCTGCCGTGCCAGACCTGGGCTCGCTCCCTCCCGTCGACAGCGTGCTGCTGTCGCATTATCATGAGGATCACTTCGATCGGGAGGTCGAGGCCAACTTGAGTCGGGACGTGCCTATTATCACGACGCCGCATGCTAAAACGTGTCTGACGGAGAGGAAGAGGGAGGATGGGTTCAGAAAGGTGGTTGGGTTGGCCGAGTTTGAAGGGGTGGTTGTTAGGCCTGTTGATGATGCGGGTCAACAACAACAAAACAAAACTTCGGGGAGGAAGGAGGCGGTTAGAGTGACGGGCATGCCGGGGAAGCACGTCCCGCCCGGTCCGCTGGCGTTGGCGAACGAGCTGCTTGGGGCGGTGCCGCCGACGAATGGGTGGTTAGTGGAGCTGGGGTGGACAAAGGGGACTGATGGAGCGGAGGACTTTGAGACGGGATACCGGATTTACATTTCGGGCGACACGCTGTTTGTGGACGAGCTCAAGGAGATCCCCAAGCGGCTGCAGGGGGACAGAATTGACCTGATGCTGACGCACCTCGGCGGCACGACCATCCCCGGCCCCCGCATGCCGCTGCTCATGGTCACAATGGACGCGAAGCAGGGGGTGCAGCTGATGCGGCTCGTGGATCCGGACGTGACGGTGCCGATTCACTTTGATGATTACGACGTGATGTTGTCGTCCCTAAACGATTTCAAGAAGGAGGTGGCGGCCGCTGGGCTGGAGGACCGCGTGGTATATCTGGATCGCGGGGAGGAATACCGGTTTGCGGTGAAGAAGTAATAGGGGCTTATGGTCGTTTCTTGTCCTGTCTAATATCAGGTGTACCGTAACTGCGCCTAACTCCATCACTACAATTGCCAGCTCTTTCGGGAGTGGGTTAAACGGAGATGATGATTGATCGGTTGCTTGATGAGCCAAATTCAGTGTCACCGAATGAAGGAGGATGCTGCAGAGTGTGATGGCCAGGAGAAAAGAGGAAGGGGAAAACAACATCCGACTAATGATAGCATCTGAGCCCAGCGAGCCAACTGCGACGTGCACATCACACCTCTCTAGTCACCTCCCGCCGCCTTACTTGAGGATAAAGGAGGTAGATGGACCCGACGAGCCCCCAAGTACACAACGATGCCGCCCAAAACACCCAAAACGACTCGCCCTCGGGACCAAACCTGGTTTGGATGGCCAAAACTGCCGCCACGGCGTTGAACGGCAGCGCAGACGTCGCTACCAATGCTAGGAACGTCAAGGTTTCGTTCTGCTTGACTGACAAGCCCGCCTCCCGGACCGACATGATGGACATGAGCAGCTCCACCAACTGGCCGACCCTTTCGGCGTTCCGTGTCACCAAGTCATGCACCTGGTTCGCGTCGCTCTGCAACTCTCGCCACGCCTGTCCCGCATCCCTCGGCAGCTGACGACCTTCCAGCAACCATGCATCGGGCATACTAGAATCATCGCCCTGTACCAAGAGGTCCCGTTGCTCCTCTATAAGGGCTTGGTACTTGCCGATGCGGCGGCGGTGGGTGAACAGCCTGGTCAGGACCTTTTGAAGCAAGTTCACATCGGCCACGGTGGCCGACATTGTCTCAAGCTGCCACTCTATCACGTTGATGTCGCGCTCAATATGGGCGTTGGTGACAATCCACTCAGACGCAACTATCCGCGCCACGCCCCGGACGACCAAGAGCGGGTGGAAGTCGGACCTGGCTTCTAAGTTGAGCGAGTGTTGCAGGTAATGAATCAGGGATTTCCGGTAGCTTGACCGGTCGTCCAACAAGTCCCTCTCCCTGAGGTCGAATGGGGCAAAATGGAAGACGCAGGCTTGATGCATGGACGGCATCACTTCGCCGTGTTCCTTCTGGCCGGCGTGATCGACTTCGAATGGAGGATCGAGGAGGACGAGTCCTGCGACTCAGCATATCAGCTATGGAACCAAACATGTTGTCTAGGTGTTCGCCAGTTATCATGGTCTAGAGTACCTTTGAGCCATTTTGGCTTCTTGGGATCTGCCGGCGTCTTGAACCAGATAGAGGCGCACTGACGTGTCATGGCGACATTGCCAAACTGGCGACCACCGACGCCTGTTTCGCGGGCAATTGGAATCTGCATGCCAGCAATTCTCTCGACATTTATCTTCTGGAGGTTAGATCGCATCCGCTCCTTGGCGTTTCGATTGTTTCCCTTGTTGCACTGTCTGGGTCCGACGAAGCGCATCCGGATGTGCTCACACTCGACTCTTGAAGAGCGTAGCACGGGCAAGTGTCCCTCAAGGCTTTGAAGACGGTACCAGGGTGTGGGCACTATATCGGGTTGCGTGACTTCTTCCTCCTTTGTGATATTGAACTCCCCGGGAATTGCATCAAGGTAGTCGAGGAAAAATTGAGGATCGATCTCGAGATGACCACCCAACGCTTTTACCAGCTCAGGGGTAATGTTCTCGACAAGAAACAACTGAAATATGTCGTGGTCGATGATTGCGCCCAGTTCATGGGCTCCGACATCCCGGAACTCGAGCTCGGCTGTGTTAGACTTGAAGGTTACAACAGTGATGACTGGTTTGCCGGCACATCGCGGGATTCCATGCTGTGTATATCCGTCGAGGTATAGGAAATTCCGCAGAACTGTGAGTCTCTGAAGGTGCCTAGGACCGCCAGGAGCTGTAATCTTATCGATGAATGTTGTGTATCTGAGTGATGGTTCATCAATTTCCGGCGTCCTTATGTATGCAGGATTGCTATTAGGTTGTGACATGATTAAGGTACCCACGTTGATAAATACTGAATCAAGGATGTCAAGGGGCAATCCAAGGCGAGCTGGGAGGCTCATCGGAAGTGTATATAGTCTGTCCAAATTGCCTTTCGCTGCAGCTTTGTTCAGTCGCATCAAAGGCTTGCTTGGTTGTTAGGCTTTCTGAAGACCGATCAAAAGAAAGGATATCCCTTAGCAGGCCCACCAGCGTCACTTTGAAGCACACCGCTATGCTAAATTGAGAAAAGCGCAGACGCCTCGCTGCAACACAGCTTGCCTGAGCAGGCCGCTGCTCGCCAGAAATTACCTTACACAGTACATGTAGCGAGCGTTCGCATGTCTTTCGTGCGCTGCGCAGCCATTACTTCTCAGTATTCGTAACTCAGTGAAGATACTGTTGATCTACACTAGTTCAGGTTCGTGTGGCTGCCGCTAGGCTGTTCCATTGTTCTTAGAGGCGTTGATAAATAGCAAACCCCATTACCATCCGAACCATGCAGCCTCACGTTTTCCACCATTCTTATCAGTGAAGGCACCCACATCACCCACACCAACTTAAACTGTGAGATCTTGTTACATTTACCGACGATACTCACTCACACATGATTCTGGAAAGACCGTCTGGGAGCCATTTCAACATGACAAACCAGAGCGCATCTCTGCCTGAGGGACATGGAAACGGCGCGGATCAGCCGCAAATCCCGCGCATCAAAAAGGAGGAGAGTGCAGGCGTCGCTCGCTGGTTGGCCTAAATAGTGAGACATCCGGAGCATCACCCACTCAGAGACAAATATCGACAGTGGAAACAAGACCGCATCTCGAAGTATCCATACCCCACCAGCCCGGTGAAGCCGATGGCATCGGCCAGATTCCTAGGGGTCTGGCTGGACTGGAAACTCAACTGGAAGGCCCACCTAGGAGAGGTAGAGCGGAAGCTGAAAA